TAAAAAAGAATAGCTTGTCCGCAACTTTATGGCGGTAAATGTATATTACGCTGTCATTGTTGGAACAAATTCTCTGACTTTGGGCTAGGATTGAATCGGAGCCAGGACCGGAAAAGCTCCGAACTAGCACCGTTCAGGTTAGAGGTAAATGGTGATTGTCATTGAGGGGGGGAGGGGCACAAAAAAAGTAGAGATTTCAGTCAATGTCAGCATCAAAGTTGCTTTGTTGCTGACTATTTCACAAGTGAATAAAAGATTACGCGATTAAGCAGGAGCGAAAACGACTTAAGTAAGATTACCAAAAGTGCGAAAATTTTATCGAACAGCCTATCGTTAGCTCACTACGGCATATGAGACGAAATGCAGACATTTATTTGTTGCGCGAAGTGCTAATGCAGCTATCGCTAGTAAAGTCCTCTTAGGCCCGTATGCACGTACATCCCCGCGGGGGGGGGGGAGGGGATCTGAGAGGGGAAGCGCCATATCTTGCTACTCTAAATATCTTTCATCCTTCTTCTCTATCTTCCTTATAAAGGTTCTCATACTCTTATACCTGCGCATAATACGTGCCAGGTTACTGCTATACAAGATTAGATATTCACTATTTCGTCGATCCCTTGGGGATCCCCATGGAATCACCTCACATTTTTAGCATTTATCTTCCTGAAAAATCAATGAAAACGCTGCAAATTGCACTGAAAATATACTACGATACTGCTGAGCATGTTTTCGACAGAAGAGATGGAATCTAAAGATTTTAAATTTTTTGATAATCCCTAGCTCGCGAGCAGCGGTTCATCGAAGATTTTGATATCTTGAGATTTCACTCATTTCTACCATAAACATGTTTAGCAGTGCTGTAGCATATCCTCAGTACAATTTAAAGCATTTTTATCGAGTTCTCAGAAAGATAAGTAACTTTGAATCTGAAGTGATCCCCTGGATCCCCAGGGGATTAGACGAAATAGTGAATATCTAATCTTGTATGACAGTAACTTGGCATTATGCGCAAGAATCAGTGTATGAGAACCTTCAAAAGTAAGACAGAGAAAGAAGAGAGAAGATACATAGACTAGCGAGATCTGACACTTCCCCTCTCAGATCCCCTCCCCCTCCCGCGGGGATGTACGTGCATACGGGCCTTAGATTTAACGTACCGCAATAAGCAGTTGTACTAGCACGAGTGTAGTTAGCGCCAAGCTGCACTACTTTACGACTTGCGCTGGCATAGCTTGAAGCGATCACAAGTTTTGCTTTGGGAAGAGTGAGAAAGACTTTTTAAAGGGCTTGGTTCTAAAAGGCAGAATTCTATCGGCCACGCGGCCTTAGCGGTCCCGCATTGTAGAACCTTATGTAATCGCGGTATGTCATAAGCTCTCTAAGATAGGCGCCAGACTAGCCGATCGTCCTGCTTCAGCTGGACACGGCGCAGTTATGTCAATTGGTGTCACGTTGGAGGAAAAACATGAACATGTTCATGTTAGTCTGGCTATCGGCTAGTCTGGCGTTTACCTAAGCTGCAGCTTTGGTAATTTGCATCTTCAAGAGTTGACAACAATTATGGCTAATCTTCAAAGAAAAAACGCGGTACGATATGTCGATATTAGCAATGCATATAGAAAGCTTTTTCGGTTGTTACTCTATCTAACCATTATCAATCGTATGGTTACCACAATTTTGCTGAGTATTGTTCTTTGTATGCAATGAGCCGTTTTCGTACGAGAATATATACAATGAAGAGCTTTGAAGCTCCCTTAATTCAAATGTTGCTGTCTTTCGTCTTGAGTTACCAAACTTAGTTTCAGACTTGATAATCCTGAATGACGCATAGCACCGCTGAAGATAAACAGCTTAAGGAACAACTCCCCTAACGAATCATAAGTGACTTACACTTTTGAGTACTTTTGAAAGCGGTCTCTTACATTCTTTTGAACTGGCACACCTAGCATGCATAGGATGTTGTTCCTCTTCTGTAATACGCATGATGACATCTTTGTTACATTACAAACCACTTTATTTTTGAATACATTGCCAAGTGTCTCAAATCGCAAGAAAGTCAAACAACTACTTCAGGATTTCGAATTCATCGTGGTATAATTTCCATTTGCCGTCATCGTCTTTTTTGAAAATTTGTAGGATTTTAGCTTTTTGCTTTCCTTTCTTCTCTGAATCGACAACGGCATCGAATGTCGTGAATATCAAGCGATCACATCCATCATATTTTTGGTGTTTTCGCTGAAACCCAACTTCTGTCAAATATAGCCGGAATCAAAGCAAAACTCACTTCGAATTTTACTTTTCCCCATTCTTCTGCCATCTTGCTGAAGTTTTCAATGATGCCTAAAAAAACGTCAGTGACGGTCTTGCTACAACAATTGCCGCACCTACTTTTTTTGCCATACTGCACCATAACACCTTTGTGGACAACCACACCATCGTCATGAAAATAATCGTTCAGGGCTTTTGTCAAATCACCGGCATCATATGTACTTTCCATTGCATCGTACATGGGCTTCAAAATAGCTTCAGCTTCTAAAAAATAATTCATAGAGACAAGTGCTAGCTTCACTCTTAAGTCATCATGGTAACGGTCTTATGAATATAAGTTCAAAGCTGTCACCTTTGCTCTTCATTCTTGAGAAGACAAATTTGCACTCTTCTGACCTGAAAAATTGGAAGTTTAAGAGATATAAAAGGCGTGTAGCGGGACTAGACTATGAAAAGAACCATGAATCGCAGGTTTTTCAAATTCCTGAGAATTCTTTTGTTGAACATATAAAACTAGTTTTGAAAGAGTATGAGAAACTGCATCAAAGCAATCAAAATCTTTGTTCCGCTGATTGTGGCGGTTTAAATAAAAATAAATAAAATAAGTAAAGCGAAAATACATTCGGGAAGACCTAATGTATGAAAAACAGACCCGCAGTTGCCATGTGAGTCTTGCACATATTCTGTAAACTCCGAGCAAATGCGGAGGGAGCAGAAGAGTCACAGGATCCGCTTCAAGACCGCAATAAGTAATTTGATTGGTAATTTAGGCTACGAGTCACTCAGACACGATGAAGTCACAAGAAGGCGAGTAGGACCCCTTCCCGGGGCTTGCAAATCCCTGCTCCGGGAGTCCAGATTTCGAGGAGCCCCGAAGCACCAAAACGCGTGGAATGGGAGGGCTTAGGAGCACGAGTGACAATCCCCCGCTGGGCAGAACTCGGGACCCTCCCATTTTCGCTCCGGGGGTATCCCTTCGACTGTCTGAGCAGGAATCACACCGCTTTGCCGCGCACGCCGCGCCCGAAATTCATAGCCCACTAGAACTCTTAAGTGCAGCCTGCAAGAGCAGAATAGGGAGATAAGGGTGGGGAATGACGGCAGGTTCACGAGATGACATAAGTAACTCGCGGCTTGACTCTTATACTGGTTGCCGTTGCGTGACGGCATTGCTTCTCAAAAAACTGTGACCTCTGACCCATCAAAGGTGATTTAGTAGGTCCCTATGTTATCGATTGCTTTTGATTGAAAGAAAGGAGGAAGGAGAATACCTATGGAAGTGTGCCAACATCTCGGATAGGCCTACTTGTTTGGGCACTGCCTTTATGGCTGGAATCTTACAAGCCAATAACCAGCTTTGGGCAAAACACGATCAGATTGAATCTACCGCGACCCACCCTTTGTTGCAGAAAAGTTTGGAGGTTTATCAAAAAAGTCATATTTCATGGCTTGCTAAAAATTGCTTCTCATATCTGTTTTTTCCATAGGTTTTCCATACACAAAAAATTTGTAAAAAGTCGAGGCAGTCAAGGTCCGACGAGAGTGCACTCAAGCGGCATCTACCTTGTTCTTCGGCATGCTTCATCACGAGATTAGTCAGCGACAAAAAGCAAAAAAAAGCAATTTTGATATTCTTTCCGCATCTTTTGTTGCTGTTGAGGTATAATCGGTGATACTTTTTAATATCAACGGCAAGTTGGGGGAGTTCGCGTTGTTGCCAAAATTCCTGGTGTTAGCCCTGTTAGGTTTCTGAATTTGTAGTCTACGCTCTTCATGATGGGTACGGCTCAAGAGTCGCGGAATGCGCGGAGCTATACCGAAACGCAAAAGCAGTGAAAGAGTCGCTCTATTAGTACTTCTGTCGCAATGTTATGGTACTGAGGCGTGATCTGCCATCCCCACATTCTATTCCCCTGTCGTAATTTTTTTCTCCGTAAAGTTTTTGTGGGGCGCAGGTTATGAGCGCGAGTTCCGCGGAGCGGCCGCCGTGAATGGTGTGATTCTCGGATCGTAGCCCTGCATGACAAGCCCCATCTACTCTAGTGCTGCTCTAAAGTGAAACCGTGAAACTTTTTATTTGAGGCAAAAACCAAAAATAAATAACTGCGAACATTTTGATGTGTATTGTGACACTAATTTGGCTGGCTTCATAATCATCATGGCTAGATTCTTATCTACTTTGTGTTTGGCCAATTCGACTTTGCATATTTTTATTACTGATAGTGCTAGTACTTCCAGTTCACTTTGCAAGCTCCTAACAAGGGAATGTTCAGAAATCGAAGTACCCAATTCAAACAAACCGCATACCATCGGATGCAGCCTTAAAACGCTGACTTCGAATCCGTCTTCCTTATCTGCTGGACATTTCTGTAAATGAACTCATAAGCCATTGATTGCCATTATTTTGCTATGAAATTGTGAATGGCCCATACCTAAAGGTGATCTAAACTGGCAATAATAAGCTCGCTTTCGCAAATTTTTTGTGCAACTTTTTCTCGAAAGAATACTGTTCATGGTTTCGCGTACTAAGGACGTTTAGCAGAGGACAGAATTGAAATCAACGTCTATGCTACATCGAATGGTATGCAGCTTTGTTTGTTAGCTTGGTGTAAATGTTTGAAGAAAACGCAGTTTACGCTTTTATCGAACCTTAATTTTCTCAGTTGGAGACGTGCAAGTCTACTGTGCTTGTCTAGTCAGTTGCAATTATGAAAGCATCTTGATGTTTGGCGTTTCGGAGTAAAACTAAATCTAAAAAATTTCGTGATTGTGCTATGCTCGTTATGCACTTACGCTCATCGGCTCAACGTGCATCACGCAAAATGGGATTAACTTGATTTGAAAAGAGTGTGCTTCTAAAAGAACGAAAAGGTAGTGAGAGTGACAGTGTATCTCCACCTTTATATTGTCTCAAGAAACAACAGAACTAATAGATATAATCAGTAGAGTATAGAAATCACAAAAATTAGAGTAGAAATCACAATTATTGTTTAGCGGCGACAAATAGTTCCTACAGAAAAGATTAGCAGTAACAGACACGTTCTCGTTATCTTGCGTTTTTGCGTTTATTGACCTTATGTGGCGATAGATGAAGAGCTAATTTCGTGCAAAGCTATTAGATCAATACGCAAAGATAAATCCTGTATCTCGACACTGATACCATAAGTAATAGCTGGTTCAACCCATAAGCAACAAGCTAACTTCTACGAGAGAGACTCTCAAAATTAGAGTAGTTTGCACCCGAAGTCATAACATTCTAATTCAGTAGCTGTTGCATCTTCATCACATGCTTGTGAAAAACCACTCCTTTTCTGCATACAGATGCACTTTTGCACTTTGCTTACTTCATATAATAAATATATGCAAGTACATAGAAGAAAGAATTGAAAGTCTGTTTTCAATTTGAAATAGGACATTAATTAAAAGTAGATCTACATTCCGCAATATGAATAATCTCCGCGGTAAATCATCGATTGTGTGACTTCAAGCTCATCTCACCATAGAACACTTTCAGTTTGTTAGAAAGCTAAGTGCAACTACTATCAAATAGGAAAAGGGTTTGACGCTTTGCCTTCCAGCGGCTGACCGAGCAGAGGGGCGTCCTTATTAGGAATGGTCGCTAATTTTTGGAAGTTAAAATTATAGAAACATATTAGGTCGGAAAGAAAGTTCCCGGGCACTTGCGAACTTTTTCGAGTCGCGGTAACTTCAAGCAGAATGATTCTTTTTTGAAGCTACAAACTTCAATGAAAAGATAGTTTTGTCTACAACATATACAGGGTGTCCCAAAAAGATGTGCACACTGTTTGATTGTTAATAACTTTCTTGCTTTCATGTCTTTTACCTAGCTTGAGGTACCATTCTGTAGAGCGAGGATAAACTTAGATTTACAGTATGGAGGGACTTACCAGCCGCTTTTCATTACTGTAGAATTACGGTAGGAATTTCGAGGAGGATTTTCAGCAATGGAAAGCTGTATTTTTCCTCAGAAAAAAGCCAAATAAGCCAGAAACTCTTGAACTGGGTTAATCGTAGTCGCTGATTCTGAATATGAAAACCGCACGTCAGTACAATGTTTCTTACATGAGTTAATTCAGATTTAGGGTGACAACTGATTTTCCAGTGTTCGGCAGAAGTGTGAATACGCCATCAAGAAAGCTCAAAAAACTGATGGAAAGTTATGTAGTGAAATCAACACGCCTGAAAACCTTGCTACACAATTTTTTAGATTTTTTTGAAATTATTTCATCAAAAGGCTTATCCCACAGTGATGCTGTATGCTGAAAGTTCATACCGTAATCCTACAGTAGCAAAAAGAGACTGGTGTTTCGCTCAATACTGTAAGTCTAAGTTTATCCTCGCTCTACAAAATGATACTTCAAGCTCGGCAAAAGACATGAAAGCAAGAGAGTTATTAACGATCAAACAGTGTGCACATCTTTTTGGGACACTCTGTATTTGTCTTGCTGGCACAAAAAATGGCCTTAGGAAATAAATAGTGAAACTTTCATGGTTAAAAAGATTCCTCTTTTTGACGTCTTGGCATCGATAAAAATCAGAAGCCTCATTGAAGACTTTAGGCTTTCCTCTTTCGAACAGTATAAAAAACTTGGTGTAAAAATCCGACCGAGAGCCGAAAAAATGCGTCTGAAGAGAAATTTCCAAAAGTGCCCGAAAACTTTATTTACACCTTAATAGTTATAGATTAGATTAAATTTTCGTGGTTATAGAAATATGCAAGCGACTTGTTTATACTTGTGAATACTTGAGATACTTTGAAATTTTTCAAGAATTCGTATCAACCCTGTGCAGCCCGCCTCCTTTCTTCAGGGTTTGATCGCCATAGGCCGCAAAAATTTTGGGAAGCAAACCAAAAATCTTTCAATAGCTGACTTTTCAGCAGGTCTCCTTCGACAAAGCCTGTAAGTTACTAAACGATCTGTAGCCTCCTCGATCACGTACTACAACTGAAGAGACAAAATGCTCAACCTTGTTTTCAATCACTGAATCAGCTGCACCACCAAACATGCGGCCGCGGGATTAACTTCGATGGAAATTGAGGATCACGTTGATGTTTTGCTGCTAAAGAATAATTGGAATCGTTAGACGTGTGTGCAAGCCACTACTTGTATATTACTAGCTGGCTTACCCGGCTCCGCCCGGCCCTGTCAAAACACTATGATAAAGGTTCCATCCCTATCCCTGCACAAATTCCTATTCAAACTGTATTAGTAATCAGCATGCTCACTTACCCCTGTGCCACATCTCGCGTAAATTGAACTTTGCAAAAAATCGACAAAAATCGATAAAATCGACATTGATTGAAACGGAAGCCTAGACACGCTCCCTGCCCTGGAGTGTATGTGTGCCAAGTTTGGTTCAAATCGGTTTAAAAATAAAAATTTCTGCTTTGCATATACGTACACATAGACATACAAACATACAGACATACAGACATACAGTCAAGTAGATTTTCCGCTCAATATAGTGTGCTTGCACTGAAGGTGAAATGCAGTAAAATTTGCGCGTAAAGAAATAGCTACGCCTGTGACGCTGGCCATTTGCGCGCGCAAAATGTTGGCATTACTGGCGTGGCTACTTGTTCACGCGCAAATTTTACCGCATTTTACCTTCAGTGCGAGCGCACTATATTAAGCGGGAAATCTACTCGACTGTACAGACGCACAAACAGACATTCTCAGACACTCGCGGTTGAGTCGCGCAGGAGATCCGCCAACAAAATGGGCGTTCGCACCAAAATCCGGTGGACCGGCGCGAGTCATCATTTTAGTTTCGTCCCGATTTGGGTGCGATTTTGTCGCGACGGGCGAAGAGATATTTCGAAATAATGCACCTATACGTCAGTTCTTCCCAGCATTTGTTGCTTTTTCTCTTCCTCTTGATTTAAAATACTCTTTCAATTGTTATTTTGTACTGTTCGTACAAAATCTTTCGTCATAAGTGCATTTTTCAAGCGCTAGCTGTAGTTTTTTGGAAATTTCTACGTAAAAGTTTTTTTTGATATTCGTGTTTAGCTATCTCCTAAATTGATAAGATCTTCTCATCACCACCGTTAGTACTGTAAGGTATAATTTTGCATCCAAAGTCGCCTATTTTATGTCAAGTACGTGGATTGCGTCAGAAAGCTAGGGAGTTTTTTTCCTGATGAACTGCTGTCCCTTTCATCACAAGTTTTTTTACCTTTGTTATTCGATGAATCTGTCTTCTCCCAGTTAATTTCTTGTGCATTCTGAGCTTACATGTTTTGATGTAGTCTGCTACTCCTTTTTCCATTCTCGAGGCTGCCTCATTTTCTTGCTTGTCTTGGGTTGTATTATTGTAATTTCTCTATCTATAGGCCCGTTCTACACGGGATGACAAAGATCGACGAGCGCGGCTCTGATGAGAATACTCCAATGAACATTGTGGTTGCTAAGAAAAATAATGAAAGAGTAACTTTCTATACGTTCTCTAATCATGAAACCTGGGCATTGTTTGAATTCATGAGTTATGTTGTAAGCCACGCAGGTTTGTTAAGTTCTTTATTTCGGTCTAACGTTTCGGCAAAAATGCCTTCCTCAGAGACCTGAAAGAAAGCCTCGTAAATGTTTTTCACTCTGTACTGTCAAAGTTCTCTTCTCAACTAGCTCAATTCGATGCCCTAGGAGGAAACCCGCTGAGACAATACATTGTAAGCAGCGTACCAAGATCTTCACCAATCAGGCAACAACAGATGTTTGAGATCCACTGGTGGTAATAGACTAGAACTGACCGATATGGACAGCCTAAGTAGTGGATATGTTATCTATAAGTGACAATATGACAGAAATGGCATCAAGTCACTTGTGATGGAGAGCTGCTTATTCCTTCCGTTTAGATTAGGTTCGCGCGAAAGAATGTATGCCGCTTCAAGCGCTTTGCGAGCAGCAATTTTCGACTCGTGACCTAGGATGACGCACTTGATACTGAAGTCATTGCCGTGATGATCTACCTTTCTGTGTTTCCCTAGCGGACTTGACATGCTTTCCCGTCTTTTACTAGACAAGTGCTCATTGATTCGCACGCTGAGTTGACGACCAGTTTCCCCTATGTAGGTGGCGTGGCATTCTAGACATTCAATTTCGTAGATAACGCCAAACTTGGTACAGTCTCCCATCTTTCCGTAAGGACAAATGACGCAATCCCTCGTAATATAGGCTGTATCGTATAAACACATGTGTTGTGTACACACGAGTGCCTGCGTGGCACCGATTTCGCGAATCGCCCAGGCATTCGTTGACGACACATCGTTTTGCCCTGCGCGACTCAACCGCGAGTGTCTGAGGTGTCTGTGTTGTCTTTATCATGAAGATCATATCAGAAAAACTGCTAGAACAGGCATACAGACATACAGACATACAGACATACAGACATACAGATGCATAGACAGACATTATCTCTGTTGTCTTTATTGTACAAGATCATATCAGAAAAACTGCTAAAACAAACATACAGACATACAGACGTACAGACATGCAGACGCACGGACAGACATTGTCTGTGTTGTCTTTATTGTATACTAGCTGGCTTACCCGGCTCCGCCGTATGTTCGAATAGAAAATTCCATTTCTGAACCGATCCGGGCCAAACTTGGCACACATACACTTCGGGCCCCGGCGGGTGTCACAGTCCACTTTTCGTTATCGATCGATGTCGATTTTATCAATTTTTTGCAAAATTTGAGCTAGGGGGCTTGGCAGAGGGGTGTAATCGAGCATCAGCATGCTGATCACCCCCGTGGGGGGTGATCAACATGCTCGATTACCCCCCTGTGCCAAATCCCAGCCCCGTAGCTCAAACTTTGCAGAAAAATCGATAAAATCGATAAAAGTAATGCACGATTTTAAAAACTAATATTGTATTCGGAATCCCCATGCTCACTTACCCCCCTGTGCCAACTCCCAGCCCCGTAGCTCAAATTTTGCAAAAAATCGATAAAATCGATATCGATCGATACGAAAAGTAGCCTATGACACCCGCCGGGGCCCGAAGTGTATGTGTGCCAAGTTTGGCCCGGATCGGTTCAGAAATGGAATTTTCTATTCGGAACATACGTACACACAGACATACAGACATACATACAAACAGACATTCAGCTTTATATATAAGAAGATCGTATCAGAGAAACTGCTAAACAAAGAAGCTTATGCTAATTTGCAGCTTTTTTCCTTCTGTCTTTACATTTTTGGATTTTTTTGCATGAATCAACGCTTTCATGCACTTGCGAACCTGTGTCTGGGCATAGGGATAGATTCTCGCGAAACCTCGAAGTCAAAAACGTCGAAGTCTGCTAGCATTAGTAACGCTTTTGTGGCAAAGTTTGCTTGTTTCTCGTTTCTTACAAAAAAATTCTTAGTCGCAATGGCAAGCTAGGAATGCACACATACACTGGAAAAATATTCTTGAACTACTAATTCTTGAAGGTAGGACACAGAAGCTTACTTATTGAAAATCATAAAACGATCGTATTTCGTTATAGAAAATCGCTTTAATCACGAAAGTTAGAGTAAATTAGCTTGATAAAGGCTCCTGAATGTATGCAGATTGCAGATTCTTTCCAAATTGGCATCTAGTGATCTTCCCCTACACTACAACGCACCTTATGGCGGCCCAAGCTATCAGCCGCTAAAAGCTGATAGACCGGCCCCCTTTCTCTTTACAGAATGACTTCCCTTTTTGGGTACTGTATCTTAAAGCAAGCACTCGTAGCGGTAAAGTTATTGGTTTTTTTCTGCGAGGGAAAAATTCGTTGCAACGTAATGTTTTTGAACATGAAGGGCCAGAGAAAAGATCCCGCGTTTTCAATTTGCCTAAGGTATCAAATACTGGACACTTCGCGAAGACTGATTGTTTATTCTAGTAATAATTATTTATCATGGATTTCCATCTCATGGTGGTAATTCTTCCATTTATCACCTTCCTTTTTATAGATCTGGAAGATTGTTGCCGTCACCTTCCCTTTTTTGGATGAGTCGACCTTCCACTCGTAAGATGTGCATAGACAGCACTCACATCCACAAAAAGTTTGGTTTACTTTCTAAATACATGTTAATTCCATTGCTATAAAAGCTGAAAATGAAACTCGCCTCAAACTTCACTTCACCATACTCTTCCGTCAGCTTCTTTAATTTGTCTATAATACCTGAAAAGAACAGCAGTGAAAAGTGTTCCAATGGCAGTGCTGAGCCAAATCACATATCAGGTTTGCACTTCAAGAACTTTGTGGTTGATGTATATCTGAATATTCAGAATCAAGAAATATTCAGAGTTTTAGACTAAAAAAACCCAAAACAGCCATAAAACAGCCATAACCCAAAACAGCCATAAAATTTCTTTTCAGCTGAGTCCAAAATTCATAGGAGCTTTAAAAAAATTTTACATGTGAAGTCTACGGACGGAGTGCAAAGTGCTGCCTGCGCAGGGCATCTGACGAATTTTATTGCTTTTGCGGAGAATGTTATTGCGACTGCGCACTTGTGTGAAATTGGGCTGTTTTTTTAAACCCTTCAGAAGCAGTGCTAAGGCAAGGTTAAGGTATGTTGGAACACCATTTGAAAGTGAGGCCACGGTCAAGCTCGCACAGGTGCGAAGTCAAAGTAGCAGTCAACAACTTCCCAAACGGGAGACTTGAGCTTTAGCGTAAAAGCCTCGCATATCTGCGGATTGTTTGCTCTGCGGCGAAGTACTCATGCCGTCACAGTTAAATTCCCCAACTACTCGGCGTTTCAGCCTCGGCGGGAACTGTGTTCAGAGCCCAGCGGGAGAATAAAATTAAGAAAAGCACGTTCTAATCATTTCGCGCTCCCCGAGGTGGATTTTCGAAATTTGCATAAGGGATAAGCTCAAGCAAGCGAGATGCTAGCCCTGAGTTTTGCATTGACACGCCTTTATCAGGCATCAGGTCTCCACAATAATGAAGTAGTGCGTTGCATAACTAAAAGACCCCGAAATTTCGTATTTTCGAAGTTATCGAAGAGATCGAATACTCCAGTCAATGTCTGCGCTACGTATGCTACATACTGATTAAAATGACATTCCAATCAGAATTTCAGTTCTTTTGCTACTCGACATATAGAAACATGTCTATTCTTTCACTGCTTTATAACTACGCGACACCTTTAAGCAAGGTAATTTTTCCAAAAAGAAAGCGCAAATGGTGGATTTCATAATTAATAGGGCCACCGTGCCCTTTCACCACCTCATCAAACTTATCGGACATGCTTCCAACAAATTCGTGCATTCTCTGGTTCAGTGCTGTCCCATGCGGTTATAACGAACTGCTTTAACTTTTCCAAGATCTCGTACCGCTCATGAAACGCTTGATAGTTTCTTCCAAAGGTGTTCTGAAAGACTTAGGACAGACAGTTTGATGACCTTTACAGAAGCTGCCCGCGATACAGGCAACGGCGGTGATTGAGCATGCGTGTTCACATGCGTTGTCTGCTGAGGAACGTAGTGCTTCACCGGCTTGTGGGAGGAGAACAGCCGTTGGCTTTATAGTATTTCTTAGCAATATCCGCTCAAATTTCTCATGGCAAATGAACATTTTGAACCATGCAAAATGCTCCCAAACCATAAAGGAATCTCCGCTAAAGTTCCTCTTGCTGAAGTAATGTGGCTTTGCTCAAATCGAGCCAGCCGATCTTCTAACCGTCGCAGTGGTCCGAGCTAAGTTTTTTTGATTAGATTACACCATCTTCGTAACAAAGCGCCTGTAACTGACAGCACTACTCTCAGCAGGACGACGAACATGCACGCGGGTCACTTACCGGCGTTCTCTGCCAACATCTCGAGCAGCTTCTGTAAAGTCACTATACTGTCCTGTCCTAATTCTTTCAGAAAACCTTTGGAGAATGGTGGCACAGCTTTTAAGCAAAAACGTGCAGTAGGAGGTCCTGGGAAAGTTGAAGCAGGTTGTTATAGACGTGTGACAACAGTGAACCGGAGACGCAAGAGTTATAACTATGTCCAATAGACTTGATGAACTGATAAAAGGACCCGGTGGCTTGACAGTCATAAAAGCCACGATTTGCGTTATCTTTTTGGAAAAAAATACCTTGCTCAAAGGTGTCGTATGGTTAAAAAACAGTGAATAAATAGACATGTTCTCACATGTCAAACAGCAAGAAAATAGAAATACTGATTGAGAGGATTACACAGGCACTGATTAGGATACTCGATCTCTTCGGTTCTTTCGAAAATGTCGAATTTCGGAGGGTGTCTCATAGTTGTGAAACACACTACTCCGTTATGGGAGGCCTGCTCTCATTAAAGGCAGTGTCAGGACAAAACCAGCAACGCTATCGCTATTCGCTTACTTGGGCTTATCCCTTACTAAAATTTCGAAATCCATCCCAGAGAGCGGCAAGTGGATATGAAAAGAAAATACAGAAAAAATTCTAAAAAATAGAAATAAAAATATAATATGTATGTACAGGGGGTCCCAAAAGAATTTATACACTGTTTGATCATTAATATCTCCCTTCTTTAGAGGTCTTTTGCGTGCCTTCAGAAGCCATTTTGTAGAGCAGGCTTCAACTTAGATTTGCAGCATGAAGCGAATCAACTAACTTCATTCACTACTGTAGGATTACGGTAGGAACTTCAAAAAGGGTTTTGAGTCATTGAGGGTCCTATTCCGCCTTAGAAAGGGAACCAAACAATCTGTAAACTCTTACACTAGGCTAGTAAAAGTTGCCTGAACCAAATATGGACTTTGCATTTGACCGCGATGCTTCCTTCATGACTTATGCCCAGTAAACCGTGGCAGCTGTTTTTACTATGCTCCCTAAAATTGCAGTCACACCCTTTGAAAAGCTTTACAAACTCCTAGAAAGTTGAGTAATAAAATCAGCGCACGTAAAATCCCTAGTGCACTACTTCTCAGAGTTTTTGGAGATTTTTTTGAAACACGGCTAATCCACAAACAAGCCAAAAGTTCTTACCATAATCCTATACTAACGAAGAGCGCTCGGTGGTTCGCTTTATACTGTAAATCTAAGACCCGTATGCACGTACATCCCCGCGGGGAGGGGATGTGCGCTTAACCATTGAAATGATCCCCGCTGGGGATCCCCTCCCCTCCCCGCGCGAACCCCCGTATGCACAAAGACAATATCGGACAAGGGATCCCCTGTGGGGGGGGGGAGTGAACCCTCTTATGCACAAGAGGGGATCAAGCGGGGAAATCACCTTGCTTTCAAATTTTCTATGAAAAACTCTTTCTTATTTCATATTTTGACCGCAACTCATCTTCATCTCCTCACTTTCATTAATTTAGGGTTGCGGAATGCGCGTATGCAGTGACTGCGCTCGGGGCACTAAAAATGATTTTTTCTACTCCCATTATGTTCCTGCTTTCTCGGATGCTGCCCACTTTCGCTCATGCTGTTCCATTTCAGCGTAAAAATGTTGAACTATAGAAGCTGTTGTGTCTCTGCAACTGAATGGGTAGAAGACGTTATGCTGCCGAAAAGGGGGGGGGGTGCCGCGCGAACGCTCAAAGCAGTATTCTAATACATAACAGAAGCTGCAAATTGTGCCAGCTCTCCATAAACGTTGTAGCTATCAGCTGCATATCGTCCTTTATCCCAGGGGAATGATCCCCAGCAGCCATCCCTGCTATGCACAAGGGGAACGCTGGGGAGGGGATCACTCCCCAGGGGATTTCTACTCAGAAATAGGCAAATATGCTACTTTCTAGATTTTTTCGAGGCAGCTTATGTTAAAATAACAAGACAGTGGCAACATGTCATGAAATATGAAAGTTACAATGTGTTTACTCAGCCTATATAGTTAAAACTATTATGTTATATGAAAAATGCGCAAATTTTTTGAATGATCAAGAACTCCTACAAATAATCGAAATTGGCAGTTATTGTTGCTCGGATTTCTTCTCAAGAGGCGAATATAGAAAAGAAAGACAAATTGCAAGCCACATGTCGCTGAGAGAAGAACCCAGCTTTCAAACAAAATCCTCCATCAAAATGAACGAAATGCTTGGTAATGACTGGGCAAAACCAGAATATCCGCGTCTCTGTCATGATCTACACCATCGAACCCCTATTTCGTTGCAGGGGATATCGATCCCCTCCCCCGCGTTATTGAGTTGAATTCGCGCATACGGGGTTCGAGTGGGGGAAGGGAAGGGATCTCCTCCCCCATTCGAACCCCGTATGCACTGGGGTTCGCTCGATCAATACCTCTGAAACCATTCACACCATCCCCGCCTAGGTGCAGGGGAGGGGATCGCTCCCCTTCCCTCTATCATAGCGGGGTTCGGCGGAGGGGATCGTTCCCTTGGGGATCCAGCTCCCCTCCCCTCCCCAGCGGGGACGTACGTGCATACGGGCCTAAGTTGAAGCCAGCTCTACAAACGATACCTTAAGTTGGGTAAAAGACTTCCCGGGAAGAGAGATATTAACGATTAAACAGTGTATACGTACTTTTGGGACACCCTGTATATCACTGAGAACGAGGCTGGAAGGATAACTGAAAATGAGTCTTGTTGAATGTTACCCTACTATTTCGATAGGCTCTAATTCGTTATTTGTTGCAAGCCTTCGCTTGTAACATACAAAAAGGTCCTCGTGCAACTACAGGCAAACTTTAGTATAGGAAAGCTGACATGTGCTTATCCTTAGGGAATGTGGAAGTTTCGTTCCTTAGACATTAATAGTGCTCAATATGTGGCCTTACGATAGTTGGCATCCTTTGCTCTATTCAGTCACATCGCTGCCGCCAGGCGAACTGGCGATTTTATAGATATCTGTAGATTTGAATTGCGCGATTTCTGAACAAGCAAAAGCTTTCGTAAGTTATTAACTCAAAATGTGGTAAAAAAATTGTGTGTAGTCCTTACATTACTCGCGACGACCGAAATCGTTTAAAGTAGGTTCAACGCCGAGCGTAACCTGTTATTAAATCGCCGCTTGCAGGGAAGGACTAGTAGGTGGGAATTTGAGATGAGATCTATACTGCCTTGAAATTCATGGAATCTTATTCCAAATCTGCCTTTCATATCTGCTGCTGTTCTCTGAATGGGAAGTCATGAGGAATATTAGGGTGGATTTAAGATAAGAAATCTCGGAACAGTTCTAGCACAGTCCTCGCACTGAATTGGAACTGTGCCGGAAATGTGCTGCACGCGCGCACCCCGCATGCGGTTTTGAGCGACGAGGGGTAGAGATTTTTGACGTTTTCAACGGCTTTTTCCTTATGCTCCCCTCACTTCGGTCTCATCCCTCTACCTCGCTTCGGCTTTTGATGAGAAAAGCTGCGAACTGGAAGCGTTGGAGAACGAGCGCAGTTCTGTTTCTATGCATCCGGAAAGATGTGCTTTCTACGCTCGCCCGTTCTCTCTTCGTTATGCTTTACAGACCTACTTCATGTATTCTAAAAAGCTGTTTATGCCCCCTCCAATACAGATGCAGCATCTGTATTGGAGGGGGCATAAAGGGAATAAATAGCTTTCTAGAATACATGACGTAGGTCTGAAAAGAAGTAACGAAGAGAGAACGGGCGAGCGCAGAAGACCCATCTTTCCGATACGCGGAGCGGAACAGCGTTCTTCCTCCAAACTCGCTTCAAGTTCGCAGCTTTTCTCATGACGAAGAGAAGCGGGGTAAGAACCTATAAGCAATGAATGGAGAAAAAGGCAGAAAATGCTGAAAACTCATCGGAATATCAGAGAAAAGTTGCGATTTTCCGCATATTGAGAATTGTTGGCAGCCCTAGTGTGGAAACTACGCGGCGGCTTTCTGAAGCACATGTAGTATGTCTGAACAGAAATAACGAAGGGAGAATGGGCAAGCGCAGGATGACATATCTTCGCGGATACATAGAAGCGGAACTGCGCTCAACTTCTAATTCTGCTTCAATATCGCAGGTTTTCTCACTAAAGCAGTAGCGGGTTGGAGGAAACCGGGATGAGTGAAAATTGAGAAAAAACGTTGAAAACGGTTAAGAAGAAGATCAGCATGAACTCAGCCTTAGACAAAATCTTGGATTTATTATATATTAATGTAAAATCAATCGTTAACTCTCCCTATTGCTCAACTAAGGCAGAGAGTGGTTACATTTAGATATTATTTATTGCAAAAAGTGACTCGGCAATCATCACTTCTCCATTCAAGCTTTAGGAAAAGCGTTACGACTAAATCTATCCTTGCCGTGCCTTCAATTTTTTCTTCTCAAAAACCTCCTTATCACCGTAAATTGCGCAGAAGGTAAGGAGGCAGATTCGGAACCAACAATTCATGCCTAACAGTATAGATCAAAAGCCACTTCGACTAAGCATCCTCTGAAGAGGGCAGACCACCCTTCACGTCTCTGGCATCTTCACACATTTGAGTTTTTTTTTGCTGAGAAAGCGCTCGTTAAGTTTACAAGTTCCCGAGCAAAACAATGAACCTAGCAAATGCCATAAATTACGGTCAAGGAATCTGCCTCACTCTTAACTAGAAACTCTTACTCTTTTTGCCATAAGAAACGTCGACTCCTTTGTGAACAAATACGGCGTTGCTATGGAGGGCTTCCACGGCTTTCTCCAAATTTTTAGCTTGGTAGTTCTTCATCGCTTGCTCGTAAATTGGGTTTATGATAGCTTTCACTTCTAAAAAAACATTTTCTTCAGCTTTTATGTTGATAACATCCGTCCAGTCACTTACAAAATTATGGGTATACTCTCAGTAGTTCATTTTTAGCAAATTGACTTGACCGTTGCAAATGTGATATGTATTACATGATGCAGCTTGAGATGATTTTATTTCCCGTTCGCAGCTGCTAGGAATTCGCAAAAATTTGTGGCCGTTTTTTGGAGATCACGAACACAAAAACTCTTAACGTGTATAATGTACTAAAAATACCGATTTGACTGTACACGATAGAATTCAACATGTTTGAACAAATCAAACTTCGGACGGAGGAGTTTTCAACAGTCGTAGAGTGCTACTTTAAGAAGCAAAATCGAAATAAAAACCTCAAGTCAAGTCAAACAATACACAACACACTCTTATAAGAAACTTATACTTTCTCCTTGTGAGAGTCGTGTAAGCATTACCTTCGCTTTTCATTGCGGATGCCACGTAGATACACTCCTTTCAAGCCCTAAATTAGCGTATACTCAAATATATACTTGTTTGACCCGTAATCAAGTTCTGAACAAGAAGTTTCTCAAGAAAATGCACTCGGAGTTGGTCTTCAAAAAACCTATTACTTATTTATGAGCATGAAAACAGCCACGGAAATGCGGACGAACATCAAAGGTACATAAGCCATACAGCACCGCTATCAAACAGTGCATAAGGAAGAGCTACTAAGGTTACACATAGTAGGTTTCGCAAATTCTCCAGATCTTCATTACCTACATAGACAAAATGGCCTTCTTCATAGGCAAGCCTTACAACAAGTTCTTCTATCTGTTTAGTTCTTCGTTTGCATAGAATCTGTTGCTAGTCGGAGGAAGGGTCTCTTTCGGAAACGGATATAGAATTTGCCAGCTATATTCAGCTGAAGTGTATGTTCCATGAAGATGCTTGCATACTTCGTTGTTAGTGCTCAAGGTTTTTTGCATCAGGGTTCATCCATCATCGTCTTTTCTCAAACAGCATTGCCCCGTTCATCAATTTCATTCGCTGCGTACTCCGCGGTGCCGACGTAAAGAAACATTTTTCTATCATCCGTACTGCGGGTGTTGAGATGCTTTTGTCTGATTTTTAGAATTGCGCCTTTTCGATTTCTCCAAAAAGTTTTTGCTTGACTGCAAGTCGGATGAGGCTAAGCTATGTAGTGAAGCGCTGAAAGGTGTGAGCGGAACAGGTGGCTAGAATGAACCCCTTATCTAGTTGGAGGTTGAGGTTTCGTCTAAGACTTTCAGAGCAAACCAAGCTGCTTTTGTCTTATCGACATCGATATTATCGATTTTTATCAATTTCTTTTTACAAAGTTTGAGCTACAAGGCTGGGAGTTGGCATATGGAATAATCGAGCATGCTGAGCACAATGTAAGTTTCTAGAATTATCTCATCCTTATTGATTTCATAAATTTTTTGTTCGGGCGACGGGGCTGGGAATTGGCACAGAGAGTAAGTGAGCGTGCTGATTACTAACACAGCGAGAATAGGGAATTGGCATGTGGAAGTGGGCACTGGGAAGGTTGTACACATGGATAGGGATGGAACTTTTTTCATAGTGTTTTGACAGGGCAGGGCGGAGCCGGGTAAGCCAGCTAGTAATCTGATGATAAATTCTAAAGGTCCACTAGCTTTCCAAAATTTTCTGATCCCTGACTCTTGCAAAAAATATAAACTCTTTTTGAGCAGTTGTAGCACGCATTACGATCTACATAATGCCAAGGTTTGACTGCGCCATATCGGAAGAGATTAAAGTTGTGAATTGTATTGCAATACCTAGATTTCAACTTAACATTACATATGTGGTCTAGTTTCCTCAAACACATGTCATTAGGCCTGCAGTAGTCAAAATTTCTCAATCGTAAATGATAGCAGCAATGTTTTTTTGATATTTACATAGTTCAACCACCAATGATTCTCAACTACATACGTAAATGAAAGCTTATTATTGGCAAAAGGTTAAATTGCATGGAGTTTTACTCGAATGTCAGCAATGGAGAGTCAGAAAAAGACTGAAAATCAAAGAAGTCAAAACGTTGATCTTAACTGTTCTTATATAGCTGTGTCTATTTCCGAAAAAAAAGGCGCTGCAAGAGTAGAGGTGTGTGATAAGAATGGAACAAATAGTCACAAACTACAATCCGTGTTCTTAATTAAAGGAACCTTTGGAAGTAGTAGTTGATTGTAGTGCACCTCAATCACGATCTAATGTACAGAACAAACAAACAAAATTTTCCACATACTCATCTCGTGTAACTGAAAAATAAAACATTAGACTAAACAGCAAAGGCGTGAGCGGAACTTATAAGTCGAATATAGAGCTGAGCCTTGCTTTTGGGACAATATGTAGTCAAAACGCATTGACTTGCTGAATACTGAGGTTGTTCATCTTCTTGGATTTTGTAGCATTGCTTTTTGATCTTTTTTCCTGTCAAAATCTAACTAATGAGCTGGCCGCCTTCAACTACTCTATAGCCTGATCGATGGCTTACCCTGAGACATACACGCATATCACCTTCACTGGATTCTGCAGTAGTGTACAAAGCCATTCACTCGAGGATTCCCCAAGTTTTGTTTTAATGTAAGTATTTGATGTCCAGCGTTACCGTAAGTAAGCAAGGTACTATAAGCACTATTGATACCCAAACTGTTGCGAGAATCCTGCTTTTTGGAGTCCATCCTTTTAATACTAATCTACTAATCTCTTTGACTTTTTAAATCTCGTTATACCTACTAGCTCAAGCATAAAAAATCTACAACAATTGGATCCTTTGCTTCTAAAAGAAAAACTACAGCATTTATTGGCATCAAATGCACATAATTTTGCTTCAATGAAATAGCTGATTTACGAGGCTCTCAAACGCTTTTTGACTCACATAGATTTAAAAAAATTCTGCGGCCGCTTTGATGACAGCGCTGCGAAGGGTTCCGAAAGGCATCTTTTATCTTATTGACTCAGAGTGTTATCAAATGCAAAAGTGGTTCATTTTTGCAACAGTTTTGCATGAAGAGTTTTTCTTTGAAAATGGACAGAAAATCTGAAAATTAAGGAATGCAGAAGTGGCCTATGGTCTCATGCACCCTTGGAATTTTTTCTTAGTTGTACCTAAAGTCAGTCAGCGGCGTTTGGACAGTGCCCCCAAGGTCTCTTTCTCTCTATCTCTTAGAGTTCCCTAGAAGAAAAAACTGAGATAAGTTCTTCCTCCAAAACTTTTCTTCTATAATCATGACCACAGGTGCGATAAGGTGAGAATGACTCTTCCAGGGTGAAGGGGGTCACAGCGGTCGCAGCCCCTGCGGGTGAAGGGTGTTTCAGTTGATCAAGAAAACATACGGAATACTTTGCAAACATGCACTCTGGTCGTATCTTATGTTCAGCTGTGGACTACTGAGTACCTGATTAAAATGGAGCTCTAATTTTTAAGCATTTACGAATTTTCTAAAAGAAGGAATTCGTAACTTTTGTAGATGATCAGCAACGTCAGCAAGGGAAGTGTTTTTGAAACCAACTTCTCTTCCGCTTTCAGAGAATATATAGTTTGCTTGTAGTGTGTTAAAAAAGTGCCTGGTGAAGAGTGTGGGTAGTGATTTTTGGATATTTTCGAGTTTTTAGGATAGAATAATCCGTAACTTCTTAAGATGAGCATATTGTACGCCATGATGGAAACCATTGGGACCGCCTCGACCTCCGCCTTTAGAAAATATATACTTTGCCTGGGGTCCGATGAAAAAAGTGCCCGGGTGAAGGGTGTACTAGTGATTTCTGGAGATTTACGAGTTTTCATAAAAAAATTCATAACTTTTGCAAATGAACATTTTGTACGCCACGATGAAAACCATTGGAATCTCGTTCTCCGCTTTCAGAAAATATATACTTTGCCTGAGGTCCATTAGAAAAAGTGCCGGGTGAAGGGTGGGTGAGACTTTTATAATGGTAGTGCTCAAGTAGACGTCTTTTTACAATGGTAAAAAGCCTGTACTTAAGCATTCCCATTATAAAAGTCTCTCCCACCCTTCACCCGGCACTTTTTCTTATGGACCCCTGGCTAAGTATATATTTTCTGAAAGCAGAGGACGAGACGGTTCCAATGATGACTATCACGGCGTACAAGATGTTCTTCTACGGAAGTTATGAATTTTTTTATGTTAAAAACTCGAAAATCTCTAGAAATCACTGAGCAAACCCTTCACCCAGGCAGATTTTACCCTTCACCCAGGCAGTTTTTTGGACGGACCTGAGACACACTGTATACCATCTGAAAAAAAAGGACGAGGCGGTTCTAACGGTGATTATCTCGCCGTAAAAGATGTTCATCTACAAAAGTTATGAATTTTTTTATGTTAAAAACTCGAAAATGCGCAGAAATCACTACTCACACCCGTCACCAAGCACTTTTTTCAACAGACTCCTCCTTTCCTATACATAAACAATTCACCTACAAATATCTCCTTTGCTTAACCTTACCTCGCTCAGGGGTGAAGAAGGGGTGAGAAAATTTTCACACTATCGCACCTGTGATCATGACCAAAGGTGCTAGAATATATCATGTTGGCCCAGAAGTTTCCTTTCAAGAATCTTAACTCTTCATCTGTGAAAATCGCACATTGATTCAGTCAAAAGATAATCGCGCGCCTTACAGCGCAAAAATGCTTTTCAGTACGCATATAACGCAGGGAGAGAAGCAGTAGAAGGAATTTACTGAAGATATGACTTTTCGCTGCAGGTTGCCAAAAACCTGACGAAACGGTTGGTATCATTGTTTTTATGGCCTGCTCCATTTTACTCTACCAAAAAATAAAAATTTGAGTGAATCTCTTCTACAGCTTTTAAACCTGCATTGCAGTAATCGAGTGTCGCTTGAAGGCAGCGTCCAGGCAGAATAACTACTTCTATTTTTTGCCTTATCCATGGCTTTTTCATGGCGCTAATTCCAGATGTCGCACTCGAAATGCGTGTATTCCCCAAAAAATCATTTCTGAGACATTTTGCGAAAACCCTGGACAAGTGCTTCTGATACTACCCTTGTCGAAAGTAAACATTAACAGATAGACACTATGTGTTTGATTGTGTGAAAGCAAGGTTAGGGGAAGGTTCGTTCAAAGAGGCGGGCTGTGCGAGAGAATGGGCGTGGCCCTCGAGGCTCGGCGTTTTCGCGCCGATTTTATCCTTTTACAAGGTATGTTTGAAATTTGAATTTGCGCGATAGTTCTAGATCGAGGCCCTGTTCTCGGTTATGATAGTATCCGAAAATGTCCAAATCCCCTGACACTGCCTTTAAGAGCTGTTGTGACCATTATGATCTTATCTTTCAAATGAAATAATATTTGCACAAAGTCTTATTAGGAAATTATGAACTTTTTGAGAGGTGGGAACGGCTTTCGGGCCGCCTCAATGCAGTGGAAACTCATGTCAGATAGCTGCTGCTACCAAAATTAGAAAAAGCACAGAAAAAACATCCACTGTGTCGTGAACGTAAAAATTCGAACCTTGTCGTCTTTTTCAAAAAAAAACGAAAGTTGAGAGAGTAGAAAAGGACGTCGTTGGAAGGGTTAATCGAATTCGAACTAGGAGTTGGCCATTTTTCACTCCACATCGAGTACTTATTCCCACTTAATATTATAAAACGCCTCAACCAACCCAGCGCCAAATACTTGGAAATGCCAAATTGACTATAGTCTGGCAGAGGAAAAAATGATGGGGCTGTTCATCACCTCTAGACAGTTGCCAAAGAGAAAGATATGTTACTGCAACTTGAATCCCGATTCTTACAAAGTACCTGGAACGACATGGAAGTTGCCAGCTGAGTATTTAAATATATTCCACTGCACGAAATCGACCAGACTCAACGCACGCGAGCGTGTCTCTCGCGGGCTAACATTGGCATTCACGCGCATGAGTCATCATAGCGTCCGTACCCGGCAGCCGCGCTGCAGATACGCTCGCGTGCGTTCATCCTACAGCGACCCGGGCGACTTCGTGCAGTCGACTTTACCGTCCGTGGAAGCTGAATTGGTTGCAGAGTAAGTTTGAACATGTCAAGCAAAATCGCTACAGTATTTCCAAAATCAGTGTCTTAAGAAACCCTCCACACACCAACTCGCACTATGGTTCATTATTACTACTGCTCTTTGATATATGTTAACAAATTATAATGATTTTGAAGACAGCTCATCCTTTTCTAGAGCTCTATTGAAGTACTAATGGTTCTATCATACTATTTACAGTTATGGTGGAAGGAAATTGTGAGGAAACTCAAATGTCGGTGCTGCATGAAGCAGCAGCCGAAAAGCAGACAAGGTTGAAATTCTGGCATCAATCTATCTTAGGCTGTTTTGATACTGGTCCGGAAGTTCGGAAACGATTCCAGCACAGCGCTAGACTGAGCGCTGTGCTAAAAGTTTCCGAACTTCCAGATCAGCACGAACGCAGCCTTAGGAATGGAGATTGCGCCAACACGAAATTTTTAGCTTTCCAATTATGACACCTCAAACAAGACTTTCTTTTTCATTCAAAGCTGCATCCTTACGAGTATTTTTTGTAAGGTTACAAGAACAAAATCTTATATATGCTAAACGCTAAATCCAGGCTTAAAAAGACAAGCATTATTCTTTCTCAACAAGTCTAATTTTGGATTTAGAGTTAACAAAGAAACGTCCGTTGTTTGCGTTTCGTACTCTTCAAGTCAATATACACATACAGAAAGGTCATTTAGACTAACCTTCCTTCCCTTGTAAGTATTTTTAAGCTGATCCTAGAGTTAGCACGATTGAGTCTTCAAACTCTCCAACTCTCCAAGCCAATTTCACCCACCAAGTATTCATCTCAAAAGTAGAAATTGGAATGAGGTTAATAGAAGAGCAGCAGTCATCAACCACTGGCTAACTAAGCGGCATCATGCTCCGTTCTACGAAATAATTTCTTTACGGATATCTTATGCCTTGAAGACATTGACTGAAACGCCATTTAAGCACAAAGATTGTGACATTAATTACAGCGCCAATTTACTGAACAAAAAAACTCATTCAAACCATTATTCGTTTTGTGTATTGAATACTAAACAAAAAGATGTGCTGATCCTTTGTTCCATCATAATCATTTTTGGTGAATTTCGAATTCTTCGTGATAATTCTTCCATTTGTCGCCGTCCTTTTTATAGATCTGGGAGACTGTGACCTTCACCTTTCCTTTTTTGGGTGAGTCGACCTTCAATTCGTACGATGTGCATAGGCAGCACTCGCATCCACAAAACGTTTCGTTAAATTTCTGAAACATGCAAATCACACTGCAATCAAATCTGAAAATAAAAGCTTGCCTCAAACTTTACATCACCGAACTCCTCAACCAGCTTGCTAAAGTTTTCCATGATTGCTGAAAAAAGCAGTAACGAGAGAGCTTGAATGAGTGTTGAGCCAAATTTCAATCCATGTTAGTACACTTTATGGATAATGTGGACGCGTATTTCAAAAACAATTCAATTATTTCACGCTTGAATTTGAAATTTTTAGAACCTTTAAAAACTCATGGCTGGAGTGTACCGGTGAGGTGCAAGTATTTTGTTAGAGCATTAGACGAGTTTACGCGTGATGCGCTATTAAAAAACAAAAAAAAGCTGGCGATGAGAAAGACAACAGGATAGAAGTGAAAACTAGTATTGCTAAATGTCGCCAGCTGTACCCTCTCAATATAACCTTTCACTTCGTCATTTGCTAAGTTAAGTCATTATCCCCCTCCGCAACACATACAAAATAAGGTGTGTTCAAGTAGCCCGCAACGATCTTTAGCATGAAAAGAAAAAATGTAAAATAATTTTACTTTGTGAAATGCCAAGTTGCTCAATTGGGAGCGCTCAACGTGTGGTCTTCCCAGCTCATTAGCAAATCGCCACTACAGGAGCTAGGCACTTTTGCATATCTTAGTGGCGATTGGCTTCACAGTCCCAACACTTTGAGGATTTACACCGAAAGAACAATTTAACATTCACAAAAGCTCTCAGGCCTAAAAGCATTTAACAAGCAGAAATTCATGAGGAATACAATCAAGGATCTGGCCTACACTTGACTTCAAGCTGAAAGTGCTCACCTTTCTTGCCATAGTACGCGCCGACTCCTTTATTGACAATGACGGCGTTGCTGTGAAGGGTGTCGTTCAAGGCTTTCTCCAATTTTCCATCGTAATAATCCTTTATCGCTTGCTCGTAAATCGGGCTCAAGATAGCTTTCACTTCTCAAAAAACATTTTGAATTCGTCGGAAACATTCTTCACAACAATTGATCAAACCATGATCAATTGATAGATTGATAGGTGTGAATGTAACGCGACTATTCTTAACTACGGGAGGCAGTCTCAGGTGTTGCTTTCATCTGCTATTTGCAGCTTGAGAATTAATACAAGAGAGTTTTCAAGGTTTTTTGGAGGTTTTGCATGCAAGCAGTTTTCGCTTGGAGTTATACACCGATAGCGTGGTTAGACCGTGCACATGTTCGAAATGTTTGAAAGGATGGTAAAAAATAACAAGGGAATGGTCAAAAATCGAAGTGGCCAATCCAGACAAGCTGCAGACCATTAGATGCAGCATGAAGCACTGACTCTAAATTCTGTCTTCGTTATCTGCTTATCGCTTTTCTGTACGAAGCTATAAGCCATTAAAGGCCATTATTTTGCTGAGAAATGCGTGAAAATGAAAATTTAGCCGTGCAGAGCCACGCTCGGCTAAACACATTGACGACCGCTTGACACACATGGTGTGTCAAGGCTTGACACACCATGACTCTCATTGAAATGGCTACTAATTTGTATCAAACTAACTTCGGGAGTTTTCTTTTATGCTGGATTTAGATACAAGCTCTACTGTTTTTGCCAGCATTCCAGCGCTACTGTAGGTGTATTGTAGATGGAATTGTGCGTGATTTCATTTGAAAAATGTCAGTTGTTCCGAGAAAGGTTTCGGTCGTCAATGTGCTAATGCTGGGCCAAAACATGCAGCTAACTTACTTTGAATTCTTAAAACCTAAAGGTGAGCTAAAATTGCAACAATGTGCTCAATTTTGCTGTTTTTATGTATGTTTTTCTCACAAGAAAACTGCTTGTAGCTTCGTCCACAGAAGCGATAAGCAGATAATGAAAACAGATTCGAAGTCAGCGTTTTATACTGCATCGAATGATATACAGCTTGTTTGGTTTTGCCACTTTGATTTCTGATCATTCCCTTGTAAGCAAAAGCTTCCAATCTCCTTGGGCCTCGGACAGAGTTCACGCGATTTGATCGTCGCGATTCAGTCGCGACAAGACATGCCGACCAGCTTGCATTTTGGTTGTGGTACTTTTCCAACCCAAAATTTATAAATGTGAAATGAAAATGAATGGAAATCTCGGCGACTGAATCGCGACGATCAAATCGCTTGAAGTCTGTCCGGGGCCTTAGGCGATTGCAAGTAAAGACGACGAAAAATGGAAATGCAAAGTCGAATCAGGCGAAACCAACACATTTTTATGAACGAGAGCATACAGGCTGTCTTAGAAAAATGTATCAAGCCTCACTGTATGAAAAGCTTTCGCGGCCTTCCAAACATTTTGCATAGCTGGCTAATTTGCACCTTGATGAAGCGAGTCACCAATCGCTTTCAGCAACTGTAACATGACGGTAGGAATGAATAAAATTTTGGTCTATTAAACATCCTTTTTCGCTTTGAAAGCAAAAGTCTTAGAAACTTCTACCTGGGCGAATGAGAGCCGTTGGCACTAAATACGAACTTTGCTCTTTATCGCGATAAATCGTAAGTAAGTTCGAATGCTGAGTGTTCTCATTTTCTGTCAAGCACCACGAGTTAAGTTGTTTTTTTGAGATTGTTACGTTCGCTCCAGCGCTCAAAGACGGTAGCGTAATTAGAAGTATATTAAATGAAAAGAATTCGTTGCCTAAAGACCTTTACATTGAACATCGGACATTTCAGTAAATCTGGGCCTTTTCAATTTCCCGCTTCCTTTTTCAACCCGAAAAACGCTTGTATTCCCTTTACAATCAGAAAAAGCTTACAACTTGACGTTCAGAGGCTCAATGTGAATGAACGAAAGATTGCAACTACTGTTTCTACAATACTCCCTGAAATTGGAATTACATTATACGAACAGTCTCACAAACTCGTAAAAACTTGAGTAAGAAGTCAGCGCGAACCCTAATAGGTGAGAACCCTAATACACAACTTCTCAAATTTTTTCTGAAACAAACTAATCCACAATGACGCTGGAAGTTCCTGCCGTAATTCTGCAGTAATGAAGAGCGGTCGGTGATATACTCTGCACTATAAATCTTAGTTAAGCAGCTCTACAATATCGTGTAAATGTTGAAATGTTGAAAATTTTTCACACAAAAGGTTTATTGTAGGTCGATACAATTTGGGACACCCTGTATGTTCTTTTATGAGAGTTAGTAATCATTACCTTCGCTTTTCATTGCAGACGCGTTATAGAGCCCTCCTTCCCTGGCTAAAGCCTAAAACAGCAACTCTACGAATAGATAACGTTTTATCAAATCAAATTCTGTACACTAGAGAAGACCAAGAAATAGATGCGTGGACAAATGGAGTTTGAGAATCTAATTCATCACTGGAAAGGTAGGAAAGTGTTTAGGAATGCATGCGCACCTTAACAGAGATAACGAAAGCACAACCTATTGAACACTTTGTAAGTCATTTACTGAGATTGGAAAAATATGCGGTACGATAGTGGGGCATACAGATCCTCATTCGCTAGCATAAAATAGTCGGCCTTCTTTTCTATAACTTATGATTCGCTTGCCTTTTGACGAAAAAATTAGAAGAAGTCATTGTTTGAATATGCAACGAAACTTTTGAGTGCTTCATTGTATTGCCCTAAACTTGACGTCATAGTTGCTCAAAATGCGCAGTGGATGAAGCATACTACAGGGTGGGGCAAAAGTCTGGGAGCCTAGTACTTTTTCAGATAATATCAGAAGGAAAGTGCCTAGGAACAAAAAATTCGATGCACACATAAATCGAACCTTTACTAATACAGCGCTGCTTTCAAATTTTGAGATTGCCTCTTCTGGCTTCAAAGCAGCCCTTTGAAATCTTGGCGAGTCCGCCTGTCGTGGCCCGCAGACAGTTGTGATGAAATTCGTCCCACGCCTTTACGATAACTGTTTATTTCACCAGGCAAATATGCGGTGTGAGAGAGCAAGCTTTTGGCTACAACGCACTGCAAAGAAAATTTTTTTCGCAGGTTTAGGAAAAAAATTCCAAAATTTTAATTGAAGGCAAGTGTACATGTATACTGGAAATCTGGATGCGATTGCGAGAACGGGAGCGAAGAATCGTAATCTAAAAAAATACTGAAATTGCTTGATCGATCGAACTCAAGTCATGCTTGCATAGAAGACTCATGGAAAGAATATAGCCAAGAATTCGGTGTCTGCTGTGCTCCTATAGCTTTAAAATTTATTTCAAAGAAAAATGGCCGCTGGCACGCAGGTAGTATACACAAATTTTTATTTTGCGTTTTCAAAAGAATACTATCTGACAAAAGCAACGGCTGAGAATTGATAGCGCGAAGTCTCCTCTACATTATACGCATCGAAGTGCTTTAGAATATCCACTGTATCGTTAGTTACGAAATAAGTTGTGAAGAACAAAAATTTCTATTTTCTCGTTTTGCAGAGCACTTGTTTGATAAACCCAACTCCTACAAAAACATATAGCAAGCATTTTCAGCCAGCCAAAGTGTGTTTTGTAGAGGATGATCGCAGCAACATGTGGCACAAATTTGGAGTCAAAATCGTCGGTAGTTTCTTGATTTACAGCACTGCAAAGTAGGCTCCCAGACTTTTGCCCCACCCTGTACTTTGAAACACTTTAAGTTGTTTTCGAACGTAGTCCTGCACAATAGCCTTGAATCTAATACCTTATAGCATGTAGTGGGTTGCGGCAAAACTGCTAGTCCGCCTTCAAAAGTCAAGAAAGATGAGTGATTACAGAAGTTGTCAAAGTTGAGTGCACATCTCAGGGTTCCTTCATATTACGCTACAGGACGCGTCGTGCTGCGGCGCACGCGGCAGGACGCAGCAGCCTGCCGCAGCACGCAGCAGCACGCAGACCACATCAAAGACAATTCGGGTGATGTCGATCAAGTGCAATTCAGACTGGTAAACTTGCAAAACAGAAAAGTGTATGGCCTCGGGCAGAGTTCACGCGCTCATTGCCTTGCTATTCTGCAAAGAAGACGAGGGTTACGAGTTCATTGCATACCGATCATCTCGCATTTCGCTTGTGTGATAATTAGTCACAATTAGTCGTATTCGGAAAACTGTCACAACCGAAATGCAGGAGCATCTGCATGCAATGGATTATAATTGTTGTCTTGTAGGAGAATAGCGAGGCGATGAAATTGCGTGACCCAAGGACTATTACGTATGACGATCACTCAATATAGACAAAATAGCAGAACTTCTAGAACAATTGCTGAAATCTCTATCATTCGTAATTCATTCTCATATGATTGTAAAACTGATGTACACGCTTTTCTCGATTTTAGCACAGAATGCAGCTCAGCTCTACACATAACTGACGCATTAAGATGGATGATGTAATATTATTGGCGAATGTGCCAAAAGGCAGTGCTAGCAGTTTTATGCTCAGAAATCATCTATGATGAGCGCGCACCGTAGCTGCTGCAGGTTTAGATCAAAGGCAGTAGAAACTGAAATAGCAAAAACTGTTCTCATGCATTCTTTTATAGCTGTGCTTGCTCTATGAGAGGATTAAGGTCTACAGTGTAGAATTATGTGATAAGGTGCGGAATGAATAAGTCACAAAGTACTTTTTGTAGTCGTAACACCAACAGAAGAAACGCCATATAGTGCACCTTAGTCATGGCTCGATTGAAACTTTCAAAATTTCATGTGTTGGTACCCAAATTCAAAAAACAATATCTCTAGCGAATTTGGGAAGAATGCAAGGGGCGAACATACCAATCAGGGTGAGTGGTTAACTGACACAACAATAAATCAAGCAGGATTAGCAAGGTCCTATAGGTCTCGTAACATTAACTGAGGGCGGAAATTTATTTGTTTTGATGTTCTTGGCTCGTAGTAAGGCTTGGTCACGGAAGATGATCTCCCCTGAGACTCTCATATGAGGGTTTGTCGTGTGGGATGAGAACTGCCCACCTTTCAGTGGTATAAGTATGCAAGGTCACCCTACAGGTGAGCTTCAGACGAAGCCCGGCAGGGAGATCAGCTCCCGACCGAATCATCGGAGATGAGCCGAGCGACGAGATAAGGTAAATACTGTGCTAAAGAGGAGAGCACAGAGAAAACCTCCGTAAGTTGCTCCCGAGCAACTTATGAAACATCGCAGCTGACGTTCTTTTGCGGTGCAAAACTCCAAAAACTGCACAATTTTGGGCGCCTAACTAAGTGAGTGAGAATCGGTGAACAGCTGATTGCGCGAGAAATCGAAAAAAAGGTTTTTTGTGCATTTTTCTTGCAGTTTTTGCTTGTTTTTCTTGAAGAACCGCTTCAGGTGACAAAAATGTAGATTTACCTTTCTCTTCATTTTTCGCTAAGTGTGATTTTCCTTGTATAAATGCCAAAACAGTGTGTATTTGTTTTATCTCGTTGTTTGCTAGGTGAAATCTCTGATAGCTGCTATCATCGATTTTTCGATAACGGCCGCTATCAAAGGTCGCCAGGCCAAGTAGCAAAAACTGTGCCGCTGGCCGCACTCGAACCACAGCTATGCCGCTTGAAACCAGGGGTGAGCAAGAGGTCAGGCGCAAATCCTTCAAAAACGACCCTCCCTTCTTGTGAAAGCCCCTAAACGACCCTCCGCTTCACCTCCAAGTCCTTAGGGTGTTATATTCTGAAGAAGACCAGCCTTCACTGCAGGTTTCTATTTTTTGAAAGTCTGTAGTCCCGACTTTCTGCGATTGCACAACCACACGCAACACGGCGAGCTTTAAATCTGGATAGTCCTCTTTTCCTTCAAATTCTCAATATAGCAAGAAGAGGCTTTGCGCACAATACTCACATCAAAAAAGGGGAAATTTTCGAATGTTGAAAGCAAGTTAAGCGGGTCAGGCGCAACCCCTCAAAAGCTCAGGCGGCCTGACCTTTTGAGGGGTTGCGCCTGACCCCATTAACTTTATTTCCAAAAAAGCTTTTCTATCCAAGTTTAATGTGATTCGCTAGCTCAATCCTCGAAGATTCCACAATAATTGTTTGAGATTGATTCGACTTGTTTTGGCCTTGTGCTAATCCGAGAAGTTGAAGCACTCAACGTGAAAAACGCACCGGTTGGAATTTTGGCAGCACTTCTTACTTCACTGTTTGAAAGCGATATGAAGTCCGATTTGTAGCACAGACTTGTAGAGAACATTACTTTGCTATGAGTATTCAAAAGCTGACTTTTCTCACTTTCTGAAACCAAGTTGATCATGTTTGAAAATCACGCTTTTTAGGCGTTGAGAAACACTAGAAACTGCAGCAGGTAATGATTTGTAGAGTGCATAGAGGTAGTTTGACATGCTGATTATGGAAATGATATCCATTTCACACAGCAAGATTCCTTGTTTACCTCATATGTCAAGGTAAGAGAGAAGAAGATTTGGATTTTGGCTGAACCTTCCATTGTGGAAACAATCAGTATGCTGTTTATGACCGTCATTCCTTCATGTGATCACGATATCCACCGGATTAGCGCATTTCTTCTACACCTTCACAGTATCTCCGCAGCTTAATAAATTCGATTCTTAATTACGACCCCTCCCCCCTCAGTGTTCCTCTCAATACGATCCCCCAGGTCGGGCGCGCCTGACCCCACGCTCATCCCTGCTTGAAACGCATTAGTCTTATCCATTCGACTAATAACGCACAAAAGACAGAAACGTTCCACCGTTGAAAACTCGATCGTCCAGTAAGTGATCTGCTCGAAATCAGTGGCTTTCCCTGGCAATGTGCTGAGGCGCGATGAGATCAACTGCGGTCCGCCTGAAGAGAGATGCCCTGATGGGGGTTTACTACGGGCCCTTGTCTCCCCAGTCTTAAAATGAGTGGAGAACAATTGACATCTAATCTAGTTCCTAGTACTTAGTAAATTCAAGCGATTCTAGGGTTTTGATTAAATTCAATCTATATTCCCCCCAAGCAAATTGTTCCCAATCCCTATTTGCAGTTCACCGCGTTTTGTTTTAACTGTTGTGCTTCGCTATTGCGTATGAATGAAGATAGAAACAACATCCGTACTATCTCAAGAATCATTGATATATATATATCCACGTTTTTGAAAGCTTTTTTCAAATTTTAGAAGACTTCTACGCCTACTCTCTCGATCACAAAGCTCAACTACAGCGAAATCTAACACTTTTGATAGAGAAAAGTTACACTGATTTTTGACTTTAAACTCATTAGAGGTCATTTAATCAAAAAATGCTCTAGAAAGCTCCAAAGCGGTGACTTGGCCCAGATAAAACTCTAAAATCGTGTTTTTTCAACGGTTCCGGTATTGTCTTAGCAAAGCAAATTTGTTCTTACTGACCTTTGGAAAAGTTGCATTTTTGCCATGGGCTTTGTAGCAGATATCTCACGTTTCTTGGTGTAGCTAGACGAAAGGAAAAGATAGGGAAGTAGAATGACTAATGAAGAAAGCTTCATGCATGTCAACTCCAAACTTCTTTTCGGTTAGTATTATACTCAAACCAAAGGCTTTGGAGACCACTTGATAATGGTGCGTGCATATAAGCTGTTGAAAGGCAATATCGCATTGTGCGATGAGTGTTTTGATGTAGAGTTTGTTCCAATTCCTTCTTCTTCTTCTTCTTCTTTATCTTCGCCATTGTCCCACGGGTGCAAAGTCGGCGGTGGTGCATTTTTGCCTCCATTTGACTCGATCAGCTGCTTCTTGTGGTTTGAGCTTTGCAATGTGCAGGTCGTTTCGAATGGTGTCCAACCAGCGTTGCTTCGGACGGCCACGTGGTCTCTTTCCCTGTGGATCTAGACGAAGTGCTGTTTTTGCTACTGTTATTATCTTCGCTTCGTAAAACGTGACCATACCATCGTAATCTGGCACCTCGCATCTTATCCGCGATAGGTGCAACTCCGAAAATGTGTCGTACATCATCGTTCGTGACGCAGTTTCTTCTCGTTAGGCCAAGTATCCATCTTATCATTCGCGTCTCCATCGTGCTCAGGATCTGCTCGTGTTTTCTGGTTGCTGGCCAACATTCGGCTCCATACAGTGCGACTGGCCTCACGACAGTCCGATACACTTTCGACTTGAGATACAACGGAATTCGTCGGTCGCAGAGTACTCCTGTTAGTTGCCGCCATTTTAGCCACGCCGCATTCGTCCTAGCACGAGCATCAGTGATCGTGTCGCAATCCGACGTCACTCGGGAGCCCAGGTACTTGAAAATCGTGACCTTCTTCAGCGGCTGCCCATCGATGCTAGTGCCATCGATTTGCTCTCCGCATTCCAGGTACTCGGTCTTTGCTACGTTTAGTCGTAGGCCGTATTCCGCTAATCGTGTCTTCTATCTCACAGTCGCCTCTTCAAGCTCTTGTCTCGATCCGCTTGCTAGCTCGACGTCGTCTGCGTAAATCACGGATGCGGCAGCTGGATGTCCTTGGCCACCGTGTCCATGCACAGTATAAAGAGAAGCGGTGATAGAGCCGATCCTTGGTGTACTCCGACTTGGACTGGGAATGGCGTTGACGTTCCCACTGCACAGCGTACGGCGCCCGTCGTGTTCGTATAGAGGAGTTTGATCCAGCGAACGTACTCTTCTGGGACGTCGTGTTGTCTCAGCGCATACAGATCAGCCCGTGTGGTATCCGATCAAATGCCTTTTCTAAATCCAGGAATGCGAAATGAATCGGAGTCCGTTTCTCTAAATGCCTTTCCATTAGCAATCGTACCGCGTGGATGGCGTTGATGGTGCCAGATCCTTTTACAAAGCCGCATTGATTCGGGGTGACCTCCACTATACTTCGAATGCGAGCGTCGATGACTCGTTCGAAGATCTTTATCGTGTGGCATAGAAAGCGTATTGGTCGATATGTTGAACAGTCGCTGACGTCGCCCTTTTCCTTCCAGATATGGACTGTAATACTCGTAGTCCAGATTTGCGGCAACTGTCCGTCTACGATAATGCGGTTAAAGAGCGATGTGAGATATGCCGCTCCACGCTGCACTGCATCTGCACTGCATCTTCCACACTTTAGCAGGTATGTCGTCGGGTCCCGGGGCTTTTCCGCTAGACATCTTCCTCAGTGCCTGTACAACTTCTGCCTCCTCGATCCGAGATACCGGTCCAAATGTGGGGGCTCCTTGCGGAACTAACGGGTGCGGGAACTCCTCATTAAATAGCCCTTTGTAGTATTCACTCCACCGCTTGAGTATTGCCCTCGGCTTCGTCAGGAGGTTGCCCTCTGCGTCCTTAATGTGCATGACGTGGTCGATGTCCTGCTTCGCTCGATGTCGTGCAGCGGCCAGTCGGTAGACCTTGTTAGCTCCAGCAGGTCCTTCCAGCTCGTCGTAAAGTCTCTTGTAGTGTGCTTCCTTTGCTTCGGCTACCGCGTGCTTCGAGTTCTGTTCTCGACATCGACGGAGGTCCTCATTTGAGTGTGAGCGTTGCCAGGCTTTGAAAGCTTCTTTCTTCTCCTTGATCACTTGCTGGACTGACTCAGACCACCACCAGATCTGCTTGTCTACAAACCGGCGTCCTGGCTTGGTAGTTCCCAAGATTGTCTCGGCCCTCGATCGTATCTGCGAAGTAATCCGATTCCATTGCTCTTCAATCGACTCCTTATCATCCGTCGACACCCTCAAATCGTTAAGAGCATCTCTGACTTGCGATGTTCGGGAAGCTTCCACCATTTAATCCTCTTTGTGGTCGTCCTTCTGGCTCGTGAACGTAAGTGGATGTTCAGTCGAAGATCCAATACGAGCAACTGGTGTTGTGGCGCAAATGCATGTGTCGCCGTGGGTATAATCTTCGCGTTCATCACCATCGGCAAGTGGCATCGGCGCAGCATCCAGTAGTCGATCTGAGTTGAGCGGTCTCCACTCGCGTACGTGATCAAATGTGACTCCCGCTTCTTGAAAAATGTATTCGCTATCGCCAAGTCGTCTGCTTCTGCTGCTTCCAGGATGCGCTCTCCATCTTCATTCCTCTGACCGTATCCGTTTCCACCATGGTATCGCTTGAATCCATAGTGTTCCTGGCCAACGTGCCCATTGAGATCGCCTCCTACGAAGATGTAGTCTGCAGCGTCAAATGTCCTTAGCAGGATGTCGAAGTCCCTCCAAAACACGTCCTTCTCGGCTTCGGTACATGCGGATTGCGGGGCATAACACGAGACTATTCGAAGCGTGGCATCATCTGCTTCGATCTTCATTGCCATCAATCTATCTGAAATGCGCGTCACTTCGGTCACTAATTCGCGGTATCTACCGCTGACGATGATCGCGACTCCGTTCTGGCGGCTGCTGTCTCCCGTGTAGTATAAGCGATATCCGTCGCCGATGTCCTTACCTGCCTCCCTGTCCATTTCGTTTCCTGTACACATGCGATGTCGACGTGTCGCTCCTTCAGCCTATCGCATAGCTCCCGACTGCGGCTCGTCAACGTTCCTATATTAATCGTAGCTAGTCAGATTTCCTGGACTCGCTTCTTTGGCCTGCCTCGTCCGGGGGCAGGTAGCCCTAGCTCACTATTCGCGCCATGCGGGCAATGACGCGCGTCGCCTCCGGGGGACGCCCTAGCAGCTTGACAAAAATCCTTAATAGTCCAATGCATGTGACACGACTGATTCGTACAGTCCCCGGCGCGTCGCTCCGCCTGACGGGACAGTGCCCTCGTCGTTTGCCGGGGTTGTTCCCCGTTGCCAGCCGGCACCGCGGGGAGGTGACGATGGGACTTTGCCAGCCAGTTTGTTCCAATTCCAACAGGCCTAAATTGACACGGAGTCTATGTCGCGAGGTTTTGATCACGTCAGGCGCTAGCTTATCTGCTCTCTCCTCAACCCTTCACTATCTAAGGTCTAAGGCATGCCGATTCCCGCTGCGCGATTCCCACTGAAACGACTGTTCGTAATTGGTTATCAGAGCGCTTTTTTGGGCAGAACTTAATATATTATGTTATATTATGTTATAAATATGCCTATATATTGGAGCACCTCGCACGATAATTTTGGAGACATTTGGAAAACTGCCAGTCGCTAAAAGTCGGGATTGGACCGAATCGCGCAAGGTATGCCTTGGATTTAAGACAGCCCGCATATGCAGCGCAACCCATCGCTGCGAGCGCGCAAATTTAGCCAACGATTCGCCTTGATCATCATTGGGACCGATGTATGCAAGTGGAATAATTTTTGAAACAGGTGATAGAATGTGACAAGTTGTTTACGGAAACAATGCGGAAACTGCATAGTAGGGGTTTTTACTATTGTAGGTTTACGGCATGGGTTCTCACCTTGAACAGGAGAGGCGTATTCAACAAATGAATATCTTATTTGTGGTTGGCGGGTCAAATACCCCCACTATGCAAAGTCTCGGCAAATTCTGGGTTTCCTGCTTCGCAACCATTAACGTCTGCCACAAACGCCATACAGCAACTCGTTCAAATTTGTGGAGGCGTCAGCTCTCGGCCTGCCTTCAGACTTCAATTCTTTCTCAGTGAGCTGAGAAAATCGTTTTTAGCAACAAATTATGTATGATTTCAAATCGTTGTGAGTGGTGTGGTTGCGAATGACCTCATTTTTGCTTATAAATCCACTATTTCTCAAAATTTCGACAGTATTCGAAGAATGTCTTCTTTTCTGTTATGAAAAGCAGTGGTTTGTCCAAGTTTGTTGCTCACATTATACTCTGTATGCTATCAAAAATTGAGCGCGCCCACATCAAAAAGCGAAAAGGCGGAATCAATTGTAAAACTTCTTGTTAGTTGACAACCTGATACTTTGGATGATAAATGTGATGGAGCAACGCGGTTTTCAACGTTCAAGGTTTAGTCGCACGGTTTGCTATTATAATGAAAAAGATCTTTCTTGAACGCTTCAAGTACTAAGATAATAATGATGCTAAGTTCTTGTTGAAGCCTCTTTTGTTTCCGACAAGATTGATAGATTTTTAGATATAATCTGAGCTTTTCAGTTCCGTTCTGTTTCAAATAACTGATGCTTCGCAATAGTCGTCTAACATTTATTCAAATTAGCAATTATTTGAAGTGAAGCTCGAACTCTTCGTGGTAATTCTTCCATTTGCCGTCTTCTTTTTTATAAATTTGGAAAACTTTTGCTGTCACCTTTCCTTTCTTAGGTGAGTCGACCTTGAACTCAAATGATGTGCATAAACAACACTCACATCCACAGTAAGTGTCATTCACTTTCTAAATATTGATACCACTTTAGCTTTTGATACAAACCTCAAGTTGGAAAACTCGCCTCAAATTTCACTTGACCAAATTCTTCATTCATTTTGGCGAAATTTTCTAGTATGGCTGAAAAAACAGAAAATTGCAAAGTTTTTCCTCTTTTGATTGAGAATTTTAAAAATCTTGGATTCTAACATAAATTTTTCACACTTTGACTCTTGACAGCGCCATATGTCACAAATTTGCTAATTTTGAAACTTTCGAAATCCATTTGACAGAGCAAGTCAAGCCCTACAAGTCTATCTGCAAAAGTTCGCCCCAACTTTGATCCACGCGCTTAGCGCCAAAAACAAAGGACACCAATTGCTCAAAAAATCGAGAAAACAGCGACAATTGCATAGATGATTTTCTGGTACGGAAAATGCATGAATAAGTCAGAATTTTTGTAGAATTTCTGCTAAAAGAAGTTCCGAATTTTTCTCGATTTTTGAGCAATTGGATCTTTTTTGTTTTAGGCTTCAGGCTTCGCGTGCAAAGTTGGGGCAAACTTTTGCATACAGTTTTGTAAAGCTTGATTTGCTCTTTCGAACGATAACCCAAAGTCTCCCTTTATTAAAAAGCTTGTGAATTATTGATAAAAAGTCAAGGTGCATCTCAACTTATGTAACAACCAAATAGATCTGTGTTCGAAAACGTACGTTCTTTTTTGCTCCCTACCCCTCTTTTTTATCTCATACTGATGGCTCTCTTTCTTGGACCTTCCTTTGGTGGAAAAAGTTCCCAATATATAGCACTGTACAGCGAACATAATAATTTGCGATAGCTTTCACGAAATACACGGGCAGCGCCGTACAATACAATACCGCACAGAATGTGCAAAATTTCCGTGAATTGATAAACAGCCCCAATTGTTTTTGATGTTAAATCTGTTAGATCTGTTGTCATATCGCATTTTACAGATTTTACAGCAAAATAACTGGCAAACCCGAATCGGCCCTATTGATAATATTTCATGATCGACATGTTCACTTACTCCCCTATGCCAACTCCCAGCCCCGTAGTTCAAACTTTGCAAAAAATCGATAAAACCGATATCGATTGAAAACAAAAATAGCGTGCTTCTCCGCCGCAAAGTGTATGGTGCTAAGTTTGGTCCACACCGGTTCAGAAATGGAAATTCCTCTGAGTTCCGGAATTGTGGGCGTTTCTGAGGCTGAAAAAGTGTGAACGCGCAAAAGAGCGAGATTCATCCACAATTGCTCAAATGATCCAGTGTTAGATATAAGGAATCACTGTTTTCCTCAGCTCTAGAGTGACTCAAACAATCGCTTTTACCTAAATTCAGTACGAGTTTTTTTGTTCCAAGAACCTCATAACTCGACTAACAGTGTTTGACAGATAACGAGAATAGGCTTGAAATAAGAGTTTGAAACTCCTCATGATCTTATAGATTTCACTTGGCCACTTCGATTAAAGACCCTTTCTTTGTGAAAGGAATGCCGAATGTCTCTATCTGAGTGGCACTGGCATTGGCTGAACACACGCACTCATAATCCTACAGAAAATACAGGAAAGTTTTACGAGCTTCAAATTACAACTCTGACTATATACTATTCTTGAAGAGATATTAGAGCGAGATTTTGTCTTGCACCCCCTTAGATCAGTTGAAAGCACTTACCCTTTTTGCCGTAGAAGGCGCCTACGTCTTTGTTAACAACGACGGCATTGCTGTGCAGTGTGTCGTTCATGGCTTTCTCCAAGTTTCCAGCGTAGTAGTCCTTTACTGCTTGCTCGAAAATCGGGCTTATGATAGCTTTTACTTCTTAAAAAACCTTATTTTGCTTGCTTTTGCATTGCAAACACTTGTCTCACAGCTACAACAATAGAACGAAAGAATAAGCCAATTATTTCAAATCTATAAATAAACCATTGGAAGCAGTTAAGAAGCGGTTCTTATTCACGCTCTTAAGCTGCTGAGCGTTAGAGGGAACGGGGCTAGATATTTTTTCGGCATTCCGAGATATCAAACCCCTCACGTTTCGGTGCACTAAGCCAAATTCAATGGGCACGACGTAAATAATTTTGCTTGTTCTATGGCTTGCTCCATATCGCTAGGCAAACAATCACTTTTCTTAAATATGTTTTGGATCAGAATGATAATCGAAAAAGTTTCGAATGAAAAAGAGCTGTTGTCAAAAATGGAGAAAGAAAGAATTTTTGAACTGTATTTTGCAGCATACTGCAAAGCACAGTTGAGATAGATTTTGTTCTAAATAATTGAATTCATTACCTTCGCTCTTCATTGTGGGTGCAACAGTCTCTTTATATAGAAACTCTGAAACGACAACATATTCATATGCATAACAATCTGAATTCGTATTTAAATAATTTCTCCACACAGGATTTGCGACAAAAGATGAGTTTGGGTTATATCCCAAAATTAATATTTCAAAGAAGGTAAAGCTGAATGGTTTTGGGTTTACGAGCGCCTCCAACATCGCTTCAAACAGCACAACTGCTATAACAACAGATCAGGTGCCATAACGGTCTTGCACGTGAGCACTGAGACAACTACATACTAAATCTACTAACTGTTCAAGCACATTGTACTTACGGTTATTGGCTCAAGCCTAGAGTTTAAGACAAACAGTATGTAACTGTTTCGAACTACCTCAACCTCTGGATTTTTTTTACTACTTTAATACTTGAAACCTATTACCGGACGGTGGCGCACAAAAATTAAGGGAAACGCGAACAAACGTTTATCAGCTGCGGAGCGCATGAGCCACAGGGTTTACAGAGGTAAATATATGCGCGCGCTTTCGCACCTCAACTAATGCTTTTGCTCCTTCGGCAGCAGTAGCCTTTAGACTTAGACGGTTTGTTGTTACGTTGGTCGCAGGCCCCAGCACCAAACTGTCCAGTTTCCCGAATAATGCGAGTATCACCTGTTGGAGCTTTACCCGACAAGGCATGTGTATTGAAAACTTATGCTTTATTTTTGAAATCAAGATTGTAATCGCGCTGCGCAAGTACTTTTGTGAAACAATTTTTTGCTTCACGCAGGAAATGATTGCTTTATCATTGATCGTCGCTGTATCTTCGAGAGTTATCAAACGTGCATGCAACGAAAAGTCCAAATTTGAAAAGCAATTCAGTCTCAAAACTCTGCAGACCAAAACTAGAACTGCGGAAGACAGTGGCCACCTGATTTCCACTCTACTTATGTTGTTCTTTTCTAAAGAGCAACAAGCGTCAATGCAGCTAATTCATCCAGAGATAAAAAAGATAGAAACGAAAAAAAATACTGGGTGCTCCAGAAAAATGTGTGATTGTCAACTTGACTGTATTTGATTGTGAGATGGTAATAAGAAAGTACACAACAATTCAGCCCCAGGCTAGTGCCATGCATATCGCAACACTAAAAAACATATTTAGATGAGAAACACAATGCCTTGACGAGATTCCTTTAATATTACCTTGTGTTACCTTCGAAGAAAAGAAAGATTGCTCTGGTAGCTACAGAGACAACGTCTTTTTCGTTTTTAACCATAAATTGTACCTTTTCACGTGGAACTGAAGTCCTTTACGCAGATAGCCCAACCAATTATAATTTTCCTTTCTGCTTGCCGCGGGGAAGGGGGGGGGGGAGGGAAGTCCCCATCCTCCTTAAGAATGCGTCGCGAAATTTTTTTTAAAGTTACGCAGATGGCTATAAAAATGCGCAACTTGTTCATATTTGCAAGTTGAAAATTCAAATCGACTTGTATCGTTTATTCGTTGACCGTAACGACTGCTGACCGCGCGACGACCGCTGCGCGTGCATGATGTTTTCGTAGAAAAGATGAACAGAAAGAAAACAGGGGATTCTTCTCATCTTTATAATGTAGAAAAGAAACAAGGAATTCTTCTCATCTTAAGCCACGGTCCAACTTGTCACTTTTTCGCAAGTTTAGAAGGCACGCGTCGCAGTCGCCACGCGGTCGGCAGTCCGTACTGTCAACGAATGAGCGATAAATTTTTTGACGCTAAGTGCCGCTACGTTCCTTTATCCTTTGGACTTTTTGAAGTTGGACCCGCGAAAATTTTGGAATGCGCCCAAAAAAAGTCTTCTTCGTTTCTATGCCACGCGGTTTTGTTTAAGGAAAAATTTCGCCGCCCCTCCTACCTCCTCCTGGGCAGAAATCTTGGGGGGGGGGGGGGAGGGGGGGGTGCCACTCATTCGCCCATGCCTGATTGCGAGGCAATCGCCTTAGCAGCATAGTATGGCGCCGCATAGGATTACGGAGGATAGCCCCTGCTTCTCGTAGGATAGTCGTGCAATGAACAAAAACAACTGATGGGTTTTCTGTAGCAACTGAAGCAGGGTTGCTAATGAATAACATTGACAACAATGTAAGTTTACATCAAGAAGTTAGATAACCTCGTATATGCGTTTTCTCAGAGGTTTTCCTTCATCGCCATTTTCCTTGATATTGCCTAAATTTTCCAAGTCTTCCGAAAACTATTCATATCAAACTGCTTCTCGTAATCGTCTTTTGGTAAGACTGAAGCACAGTATAGGCCACTAGAAGGGAGAATGGGGCGCTCCTGCTGACAATGGACAGGCAGGACCCGCGTAGCGTGTTGCTTCCTGACTGGAATGGGCGCTCGCGAGTTTCATACACAACGGATACGGCGCCCCTCCTTGTAGCCCGATCTCATATTGGGAGATTGATACATACCGCCCCAGATACACTTACGCGCTTACGTGTTTCTCAAACACTCTACAACTAATGAATAAAATTAGATCGTTGAAAGAGGATTACTACTGCAAATCCAAGTCTATCTAACTATGAGGTTAAGGAAGTAATCGTGAAACAATGCTCACAGCTTGAAATTACTATGAAGATGGATGGAGATGCTAGCTCCGAGTCTCTTATATATTTGAAGCAATGTGTGCTAATTCGTACTTTATGCATGATCACGGAAGCTTTTCGAGGAGCTCTCACAGCACCTAGAAGAACACATGTAGATAAAAGTATTATGAGTCTAAAAAAATGGAGTGATCGCGTTTCTCGATATTGGTCCCGAAAATCTACATTGTTCGAACTAAAAAGTGGAAGCGGTTTAGTTGCTAGCGATTATTTATATTCTTTGTTTTACTTTTGTTCGGGAAAGGCATGCAATTTTGAAGTCCTAGTTACAAGCAATGGTTGCAGCAATGATCGTACCTCAGTTATGGAAGACGTTGATAAATGGTTCAGCCGGCGCGAATAAGATTTTTGAAGCGCTTTTCTCTTCTCTTCCTTTATTTGCCTTATGCGCAGCAAATTCCTTTCTATAATTTAATTTTGCATTAGCATTCAGATACAAAACCGAAGATTTATTGTAGCGACAGTCTTGTATGTTGCTGTAGGAAAGATTTTTACATATTTGTGAATATAACATTGCTTTTTTGATTTTTTTAGAGGAAGTCGCTTGAATCTCGAGCGACCGCAATTATAAATTGCAATCAAGATCGTAGTTATCAATTTTGGAAAATCTTTAGTACATTTTCGAGAATTCACACGAGTTAGGGCAACTTTGAAATTGCAAAGCATTATGCGTCTCTTGGCATAATGTTAACAACGAAAAATTTGACTTCTCGCATGATTATTCGTTTGTGCTTTGTTCTTGCACATTTTACATCTACAAAAATGAGCGTTCCCCTATTTTGGACTAATAAGTGTGCATACCATTTCCACATATCAAATGTGTTTTTTGTAATTGCTGGTATTGATTTGTATATATTCTCAAGTTTGTAAAAGTAACAGAAGATGGAACTCATAAAAACGAGATAGAACAATTCCCAAATTTTCATGAAATTCAATCATAAGGAGTAACAAACTTATTCGCTGATAACGAAGCCAAACACCGGTAAATTAGTGATTTGTTAAGGTAGATTGTGAAAAGGTCCTGGTAGCGTCTCAACCGCACCTTGATCGCAATTTAGAATTCACAGAAGATAGCGTGCCCTTTGATGAGGGGAAACGCCATCATCCCATGCTTCACCCTGTCGGAATATATTTAGTGTAATATTTCGAATGAAAATGTTAGGTAAACAGACAAACTGTTCAGCCTATCATAAATTGTTTGCGTACAACATCACTTACTCTTGAGCAATTTTCTGTAAGAGCTCTTTCTTGAAGGCAACGGCAGTAAGAGGTCTTTCTTGAAGGCAGGCTTCTCAGAGAAGAATCGGCTCACCTCAACTGTACGTTTATTAGATTCTTAAATAGGGCAAAATAAAAAGGCCGCTCTAGAAATCGTCCTTCAGCCGCAAATTTGATCTGGAAACGAAAATATAGAACTTTTTCATTACCCTCAGTTTTGCCCCAACATCAGCTTCATTTATGGTCGGTGCGTTTTATGGCAGCCGCAAGCATGTATCAATATCCCACTTCCTTCCCGAATCGTATAGGTGTGTGACAAAGCACTCGTCTCCTTGTCAGATAAGAATCCCAAACGGTTTTCCAAGATCCACAACTGCACTCCAGATTTTTAATCAGGGCCAAGGTCCGAAAAGGCAGAAATATGGGAACAGAGAGTCTGCTTGAATGCTGCTTCAATCATGTTGGGGTCACTTACAATCTTGCAGCCACACATCTCAGCGTCGGGAGTATCTCAGCACACAAAGTGAAAAAGCACAAGCATTATTTTCGCTGTTTTTACACGTTGTCCAGGAATCAGATTTTATTCATGTTCAATTTTACATTGGTATTTCAAATTCGTCATGGTAAAGCTTCCATTTCCCTCCATCTTGCTTCCACACTTGGAATGCCTTAGCGACGAATCTGCCTTTTTTCGGTGAATCAACTTTGACATCGTAGGAAGCGCTAAGGAGATCATCACTTCCGCAGAAATGCTCATTTACTCTCTGTCAAATGCTTACGTAGTAAAAACGCAGGTTCTCAAGCGTTCAACTTACCGTCATTTTCACTTTTCCGAATTCTTCCGTCAAAGCTTTGAAGCCGTCTATTATATCTGAAAAACCCCCTTGAAGCCGGAACTACCTGCTTTTGCTCGACATCTACGAGGAAAATTGATTCAGCATGTAAAGTTTGTAAAGATTCAGCTCTACCTTTTCTAGTGTATTTGGATCCAACTCCCTTTTGAACGACGACGGCATCAGGGTGAAAGAGATCTGCGAAAGCTGTTTCCGTCCTGTCCGCCTCATATGCCTCATCCATAGCATCGTAAATAGGCTTGAGAATTGCTTTTACTTCTTAAAGTAAGTAGTGTAAGTGTATTGGAATATGACCCATGCTTGAAGCCATGTTTAGTTGTCCTTGCTCGGCGTTGATGGAAAATTACTTTCCTTGTAACCCCCTGGTTTCAATCTCGATCATGGCCAATTATGCACTAATTTGAGTAATCTGAGCAATGTCCCATTTTCGGGCTGTCCCAGAATTTTGTATAGCCATCGCATTTGAGTTTTCCAAAATAAAAAAACGAGTTTTTACTACAAGCGTACCTTCAGACCTCATTATTGAACTAGCAGAGTGACAAGGGAGCGGCCTTGGGGTACCTGAAATGACAAAAAAGATGTAGATTGGAGGCTAGTACTACAACTTGAATGAAAATTTCAAATTTTTGAGGCAGGGAGCAGTGTTCATACAGCAAAGGTAAATGGACGAAATTAGTAACAACTGGAATGTTTTGCAAGCTCAACAGCTGCAAAGCTTCGGTTGCTCCTCTTTACTATCTCAACCTCATGAATTTGTTTTGAATTAGAAGTACTTAGCTGAGATTTGCCAAATGGATGTCTGTTTTTGCAAAGTCAAAACAATTTATACTCGTGTACTTTGTAGAAGACCTACAAAGTACATGAGTATAAATTGCTTTCGTCTTTTCAAAGCATGCCTTTCAAAAGGAAGATCGATGTGGAGATGTGGAGACTTTTATGTATCACTTTGCCTAATATTACAAGTAGTGCATTAAAACTCAACGGAACAAATTACATATTTATCTAGCTTTAGATTTGTTGGTGAATTCAGAATTTTGATAAGTTACGAAAGCAATTTAGAAAATGAATGACGTTACGGTTCACACTTTACCGTCACTTAATCTTTTTAAGCTCCATCAAAGTTGTTCCGACTCAAAAGACGCATTAAAGTTCTTTAGCATTAGCTACCATGAGCGCACACTTTAGAAGCAGTTCAACTGACATGCTTCGAAAATGAGAAATCATCTTTGGAGGTTTACTGCTTGATATGACAGCCAATGGGGCAAGGCGATTACTTGCATTTAACAGGATTTCTCAGTTTCCACTATATATACGCACAAAGTGCTCTAAAGCACTCAGGTGATATATGGTTATCCTATCACAGCCATCAATCACTCGTTTGCAAACTGATCAAAGAATGATTCTTCATGTTTGATAAAAACACGAAGCACATCTATTGCATTTCATTCCTTATCAGCTGTCAAGGCTTGTGCATTCGCAAAAAACCTAAAGATTGGTGGATCAAAGAGCGGTTTTGCCGCACAGTTCATGAACACATAGTTTGACATAAGTTTTAGGGGTCTAGTATTTTAAGATACTCTAGGGGCAGGTAAGCAAAAAACAAAAATTTCTGAATTTTCCAATCCTAGAAATTATGAGTATTAGTTGATACCTGAAAACCAGCTTACTGTGCAAAAGCAAGCCATTTCAAGAGGTTTCACTTTGGTTATAATTAGTGCATAATTCTTTGCGCCAGCGCTGTTGAGTGAATTTGAGAGTGTTTGTTAGAATATCGTTCGATGAAGATCAAAGCAATCTCCACAAAATAGCATTTGAACAACCGCAACAAATTTCACATTTGATTAGAAAACCTAAAAATTTTGAGTACCTATACAAAAAGAGGACCTCCATCCAAATGCTACCTCCGGCTTGCACGAATATAATGTCCACATCAAGCACTCGTGTGCACAGAATTTTGTAATGATTGGAAATGGAGAAATAATTGTGTTTTTGCCTGACTGATGCTGAGGTGTTTCCCACAAGTCCATATTGCAATCTTCTGCGAGTGCAACCACAAACTTACACCTTTCTACAAGTTTTTTTCGATGGAGAAATATCAAATTTAGCCCAAAAAGCAAAGAAAGGCGAGATATCTATATCTTTTGGGATATTGCTGTTTGCGTAATAGAATAGTGATGGAAAAAATCTGGTAAGCTTTGAAATGTCTGATATGGGAGGTAATTCTATGAGCAAGTTGTACTCCCGTAGCTTTTTTAAACGAACAAATGCATCTTGTAGAAGACCATGCAACTTTCTACCAATTTCATTGAATACTGAGAGATTGTTCTCACGCACACATCTTATTGTTAGTCAAGTATGATTATTAATCTCCGTTTTCTGTCGATCAGGTAAGCGATAACATTCAGCTTTCATCATACTAACAAACTCCATTTGAAGCTCCCATAAGGATAAGTTTTGGTACTTGTTGTTCTTTGGTTGTTGCCGTACGTCTCAGTTCAACTCGTAATTCAAAAATCTAAAGTTCATTAGATTTTTAGTTATTAAGTCCATGAAGCCTTACCTTGGCGACGAAATAAGCTTAATGGCAGGTGCTTTTTATTTTCACTGGTAAAAACACTATGCAACACCGTGACATTTCGCAATTCCTTATTGTCTGCAAAGTAGAGAATTTAATATGAAGGAAAGATAAGCGCTCCTGATACATGTATATCTCATGCAAACCACTCTGACAGACGTCGATTGCCAAGAGTGAATGACAGTTGTATGAGATAACGCTTGGTTGGATGATAAGTACAAATCATTGCTATTGCGAAAGTACGAATGTGTAAGCAAATATTGCAACAAGCTGCTGCTATAAATGTCTCTGGATTTCCATTCATTTTTGTTTAATAAACTCTTGTGGATATCAGGAGTAAAGGTCCTCAAGCATAAATTTTTCGTTCATGATTGTGCATAACTAGCTTAATAATAAAAAATTAACAAAAAATAGACAAGCATTAATAATAATAAGTAGACATTTCCTAAATGAACTTCCAGACTGAACCTTTTCTGTTGTGAGCTTGATATGAACAAGTGGAATCAACCTTACAGCGCTTTACGAAAACTTCTACGTAGATAGCCCGAATTGTTGATCTTGTGAATAGCGACACAAGAATTTGTTTTTTCGGTGATCACCATGACAGTCTTTTCCAGATACGCCTTATCTCACTTTGCAATTTCTCTTGCGTGTGATGTCAGAGTTGGGCTTAATCTGAATATCTTGTCCGTTGGTAGCAATTTGAATGTGCGCCGACAACATTGAATTTGCAAATTAAGGAGGTACTGAAAATTCAGACACTCAAACCAAAACTGTTAATTAATTGCTGATATGGAATCCTATGTTGCAGGCAAGGATTCTACAAGATTCACGATTTTCAGCAAATGAAAAATTGCTACTAATTTCTTTCTGGGAATGACGCATCTGCAGCGCTTGGTATTGCTTGACAATCTCGATCAATGACTTCAGCTGTTAAGGAAAATGCCTGTGTCGCTAAGATTTCGCGATGCGGTTGGCTCGACAGAATTACAAACTATGGTGTATGAATCTACACAACACAGTTGCTTACTGCTTTCTCACTAACGTTTGGAAAAGCCCACCTTTTTCATACAACATATTGATCACAATCAAAATTTTAGGAATTTCATCATTCGATGGCGTGCTAGGTCTCTACATGTTATACAATCCCAACTCGTACTATTATTGTGAAATAGTTTTGAAACGAAAGTCTTGGAACGAAATAAAGTTGCTGCAGTACAAGACACGATGCCACTTAGGAACAACACATTGTAAGCAACAATCAAGAGGGTGTGCAATAATAAGTGATTTTTGCAAAGGTATTTCAGGCATATTGTTGATCATACTCTTCTTACACGATATATATCAGTTTGCTTTACGCAAGCAAGTTAAAGCCATCTGTGTAGTGCTGCTTCCATATTCGCCTGATGCCTTGAACGAATCTATACTTGATGGCATGGAAAGATAGGCTATATTAGGGTGTCCCATGTACCGTTTCATGCTAAGCATTAGCATTTCTCGACAACTGGGGCACTCACAAAGGATACGAATACATGATCGTACTTCTGTATATATGGGCTATATGATCACATGCGTGGGAGGAGCTCAGGACGTCTCAGGGCGGAGTTTGCCATTTTACTCCATTCATTTTTTTCTTTATTTCTAGCCATGGAATAAATACGAAAAGTGTGAGTTGAATGTTCGATGTGTCAAGCATATGCTAAATTAAATAAGAAATTCTTTAGATTTTTTTTGAGGCAGAGATACCTTTTGACAGTAAAATTCTTTTTAACTGCTATCAGATTTCAGCTTAAAATTTTAGGTGGAATACGATTTGGACAGATTCTTGACAGCCATCTTGTATAGATTGCTTTGCCCTGTCGAAGATTCCTCAACCCAATCAGTTGAAGGAAAGATAAATAAGACGGCGGTATAGAAACGGTAAAAAATTATGAGACACCCTAATGGATAAACGCTCTTCCCAAATCGTTCGTATTTTTATCAAAGTGAAAATATTATATCAATAATGAGAAAATTAACCATATTCAATAACCGGTGTGTAGCACACCTAAAACTGCCTCCACCACAAGTGGGAAAGCAATTGTAAAAAAAAGCGTATAAATAATCACGCCCTATATCACAAGGGTGTTGCGGTATTTAGAATGAACCTGATTTACCTTAACAGTAGACAGTGCGAATTGTTCGCTATGGTACTGTCTGCCCTGATCCCAAAAGGCCAAAACTGGTATGGCGGGAGTCCGTGTCACGAGGGCGATGCGTCACGTCTACGGCTAGCTAGTCTGCACTCTCGTCAATCTCTTGGCTCTCTGCGACAGCGCGCGTATGCAGCGCAAACTAGCGCTACGAGCATTTGAATTCAGCCGACCTGATCCCGATTGGGGCAGAGTGTTTTTCACGTTTTTTTGTAATTTCAGCATTGTTTGCAGCTATAAAGAAATCAATAATGAAACGCATTGTGATCATTAGGTTTCGTTACGCTGTTTAGTGCATCTCATATTAGCGGAGAAACCGTAACTTGTTATACCAATAGAATTAAATGTAGTCGTTGGTGCATATGACAAACAATTTGCTACAGCGCTAAGAAGAGCAGCCACCTCTATTTTAGTGCAGTTGAAAATACCTAGTAACCTGTTAGGAGCAAAAACTACGCAGCAAATTTGTATACACATTGGGCGTGAAACATGGTCCTGATTACCTTGCACAGTCAGCAATAAAATTTCTAATTGACCTTTACAACTCAATGTTTGCTAATAAGGATGCATGGCATAAAGGCAGCTGCGACTAGATTATGTACAGAGATTGCACTTAGAGCGGTTTTACATGGGAAGAAATGGTAATGAGCTACAAATAGAGCTGCGCATGTGAAGAGATAGCAACAAGCTACTATTTTTTTCTTTACAATAAATTTGATACATCTTCAAATTGTTGACTAGAGTATACGTCAAATCAACTACCAAATCTACGTGCAAACTAACAGTGGTCTCATCCTGAATGATGTACACAACTTCATATACACAAGAGCTGTTCATAAGAGGTAATAAGCAAATATGATTTTTCTATAAATACAGAACTCGTAAGAGCGAAATTATCGAAATATAAAGCGTCAAAAACTCGTTTCCCGGAATTGCTGATCGTCACTCGATGAAGGAGTGTAGATGTCATCTTCTCCTTGACTTGTACTTTGCCGCCGATCAGTTTCATCTTCATCACGGCGAAGTTCTCCCGTCAAGTGCTTCCTTGAAACAAAATATGTTGAGACCGCGAGCTCCAATTCATTTCTTGCAGGGAATTAATAATCTGTTGATGTGACTACTTACTAGCTAACGTTATAACATTTAGATCATTTTGACATCTATTTTATAATCTTGCACAAACTGATAAACACTTTTTCCTGGACTACCGCCGGTAAAACTTGAGCAAGATCAGCAATTGTTTCTCCCTTTTGCAAAGTTTCGAGTAAAATATACCATTTTTGACAACATGAAACAGGAATAAGATTTCTCTCATAATATGTCGTGCATTGTAGCGCACTGAAATTCCAAAACCGAATTGGATGATGGAGCTGACGGCACAACAATTGTGCCGTCAGCTCCATCATCCATTGTTTTTACTATTTTTTCCAATGCTATAAAAGATCGACACAAGTCGTACTATGATACTAGAAGCTTCCTCCACTGGAAAATCTGTAATGCATAGAAATCGTCGCAGCAACAACCTTGTATAAAAATATTTAAACACAGTGTCAACACACGCGTTTTTCGCAGATAGGCATGCTTAGTTTAGTTCTCACGATACATTTTGATTATATGAAGGGAATCGCTTTGCTGGATCCACTTCCGCGCGAATATCAGGGCAAGTTGAGAACTCCACCGATGACTGTAAAGAAGCGCTAGCAACTTTAAGAGAGAAACTTACATTTGTTTTGATGAAACAGAGAACAACAGGAAAAACCTAATCCGCGAAATGAAAAAATAACACCACAAAGTGGTCCACAGAAAAACAAATTATTCGTACTCCTGTTGCTTTCCAAGTGCCACCCATGGAAAAGACTCTTACAACTTTGCTTTCGTGAAGACCTTCAAAATAGCTACCAAGGGATTTACATGGAAATGTAGTCGTGATTGAAAGACGACAGTCTGTCTTGGCTGCAGGTAAATTGAAAGGATACCAAAAAATGATGTTAGGTAACTGAAGCACCACTCTCATGCTTAAGTAAAAAACTGAAAATATGAAAGAATATAAAAATTAACGTACTCTGGAGTGTCGTGCCATGCTTCTTCAAACTCGGCAACGAAGTTCAGTAAATGCGATCTAAAATAGGATAGACGGTCCAGATAGGAAAATAATGAGCAAACATAATTATGGAACATTTAACAGCTTGTATGCAGATTAGTAAAGTTTAACATAAAATCATTCACGAGTCACTAAACAGTCAATGCACAAGCCAAGGCAGTGGCGCGGCTGGAAGCGTTTGACTTGCAAAAAGGAAAAATGGTTGAATACGCAAGCACCGTATGACCAGCGCTTGTGCATTGCTTGATTTACTTAACCATTCTGTTATGCGAAAGGTGCACTGACTCAAAAAGTTAATATGCGGGGAAAACACTTCATGCATACGCACCATTAATTGCAGTCAGATTAACTGAAGTACAAAACACTCTAAACAGGGAAAAGCAGTGGAGTGTTGGCCGTTTTCACATATTGGGGTAGAGTATTACGTGTCGCCAAAAGGGGAATTCCCGCGGACATCTGCAGCAGGTATAATAATACGCACCTCTTACATGCATGAGAGGTGCATACTTATTCTAACCGTTCCTGACCTTCACTTTCGGCGACATATAGTCTTCTACAAACGTAAATTAGTCACAGAAAGTATCAATACACGACCGAAATCGTGCGCGACATACACCGTGATGCCTGGGCAGGTGGAGAGGAAGGGAAAATCTGCCGCTGCAGAAGAAGTCATGAAGGACTTTCGCGGAAAAATGCATCCGTCCAATCATGCCCTTTCGCTGCAACAGAGCATAGATTGCTCTTTAGCTGAACAAACCAATTCTGATTTTGTTCTCGTTTAACCGATCCGCTAGCATGCAAGGTGTTGTCTGACGAGCTTGAGCAATTTTAACAAAACGCGAGCGTGTCTACTAGATCGGAGCTAAGAATGCTGTAACAGATTAGCCCTCGTGGCTTCAGTTTGTAGTAAGGTGACATAAATGACATAGTGCCTTTTCATATTCATAATTCATAAAGCGATGCCTTATGAATTTTGAAAAATGGGAATGACACCCCAATTTGCTCAAGCATTCTGCAACTTTCTCCAGCGATTAGACTTGAGATCATAAAAACTTGCTGTGATACTGCTATCGCTGTCTCTTCAAGTTTTTTTCCAGTGATTTAGATTTACTCACGCTAACTGCACATTTGCTTACAAGGGGGTGATACCGTAAACAGAATGCGCTCTGCAGCGTGGCCGAAATGTGAATGCTTAGTGTGAGAAAGGCAAATTCAGCCTAATGTATGTGCTCAGTGAAGTGCTCATTCTACAGTAATCTACAAAGCCTTTAGATCATACATACCTAAGATCCTCATTATACATTGCTTGAAAAAGTTCGCCTCGAATAATGTGAGCTTCATCACGCATCATCTGCTTTTCCCTTTTTATATCTTCGATAAGCTGCCGGATCTGCTCCACATTTTCGTCATCATTGTCTTGTCGCATGATATCCTATATAATTTTGAAAATGGCGTGAAAGTTATATGCATATTGTGATGCTCACCTCTAAGTCGTTTATCTTTTTCTTGAGTGTTTGCGTAAGCTTCCGAAGATGATCATAACGCTTGTCTATGTAAGACAGTCGGTCTTGAAACTGAAAAGGATTTAGATAGAGTGCGTGAGCCGGATAAGAGGTGAAACTAAAGAGGTACAAGTGACCTGCTCCACTCCCCCTTTGTTGGTTTTCCTTTAAGGAAAATTGCACATTACCTTTATATCTTGGGCCACTCATGACTAATGCATTTTATCGGTAACATCGCTTATACTCTAAAGAATAGCATTATGCTCCTCCAATAAGAACTTCAAGCTTGAGATTATCTCCTAATAATGAGTCTTATAAAGCACGACGTCCAAATCTTCCTGAGTAGACATACATGCGTCACTCAGTTGAGGCAAAAATTCTAATCGCGTGATGTAAACCGATTTGTAAGTGTAGTTATTCATGTCGATCAGTATCGATTCATTTTCAACTATGCATGTTTATGGTTATGGATCTGCTACACTATTTACATATAGCTCCTTATTGTACAAGACATTAAGTAGTCAGTTATATGTTCTCTAATTTATGTACGGATTGATCCAATGATGCCCTATCTCAATTCATTTCACCATAAAACAGAGCTCTACGCAAAAATCATTTCTACACATTACCTGCAGGTCACTGTGGAACGATACCGTAGCTTTGCAAAGCTTTGGTCGGCCATCAAAAAAGTCATCGCTCATTATGTAAGGATCAACTGAAGAAAAAAAATATCTACACAAAATTAGGCAATGTGGGTCCGAGCTTTTAATATAGCGATAGGAACGTAATGGGCCGAAGCTTGGGATTCACGTAACTGAGGACGAATGATTAAAAATGTGATTCTCAGGAGAAGTCATGAATTTTGAGGAATTCCGGCATGAAAGTCAGAACAGCACCGCTGAGAAGTAAAACGCAAAGAATATGAGAGCCATCGTCTCGGATAGATTTGCATTCAAGAGTGGGAGTTGGGGTTATGGGATGATTTTCGCAAACTTTAAGTAGGGTATCCTTTTCAGCCACTAATTGCCGCCACTTCAGCGAGAGGATATCATTTCCAGCGCATTCATAGAGTGCTTTCGGGATTTTTTTTTAAGTTCTCAGACGGAGGCCGTCTGAGAATTTGAAACTCTTATGGAGATTAACACTTTGACGACAATGTGCGTTTTTATTAGTCCGCCTCTTGGGACAATGCATTCCAGGGATAAGTCGAAATATTTTTAGCTAAAATTATACAGATTGTCAATTACAGTATATCTACAGTACTTCTGTGAAGCAGGCGAGAAACACAAGAGCATTTTCTAGGGTTAGAACATAAGAGCACTTCTGAAACGAATGTATTTCAAGATAGCAGTCTTTCCAACAAAATTTGAGCCATGACCCACCATGTTTGTCACGTAGTCGTTAACTTGTTAGAATAAATATGCACAGATCAAAAAAAAAGAGGCCACTGCAATCGAAGAAATATTTCTCTAGCAAAAGTAATTACCATGTGGACAGAGAGTGCAGGAGTATGGCTGTGCACAAATCATGGTAATATTGCTGTTCCGAGTTTTACCCTCTCATGAATATTCATACTCGAAGTTCCTATTATTAGAAAGAATTATTCATCGGGCAAGCTTTTTTCATTTTTTGCTTTCATAGCCATGCTGGAGGGTTTTTTAGCGAATGGACGATAAGATCTTGATTACTATGAACATCCCAGATAAATTTAGAATCGAGGATTCAAAAGGTTGCTTGCTTTTTTGGGATAGAATATAGGCTAAGAAAGGCATCCAAATTGCTTTGACAAAGTCTCCATGCATAGCTGAGTGTTGACTTCTTTGCAGACTAACATTTCTGCAGAACTCGAAAACGCGAAAATGCGTCGACTAAAATTTTCGATTATATTTTTGCAATAAGCGATAAATCCAGTTCTAACAAAACCATCAGAGTCAAGCGAGATATCAACGGTACTTACTGGAAAAGTTGAATGTTTTAGGGACACGACAACACTTCAAATGACTTTGTTCGATAGATTGGAAATTATGGATGAGGGCCTCAGCACACTTTTATTAGAATTCAGAAATTCTAGATTGCATTAGGTTGATGTATACCCTTGATTGCTTGGCGGCTGGAAGGCAGGGCTTTGTGACCTAATTTGGGCCGCTCGCGCCCGCCACGCAATCTGCGTCTCTCGCGCGCATGCTCTCCTATCATTTTTCAGCTTTATAATTAGATCACGGAGCCCGCCTTCCAGCCGCCAAGCCAGTTGAATCAAAGGGTAAGCCTCGCAAAAAAATAGACTATTTGAACAAAAGAATTCAACTTGTATCTCAATTCTATTCTTAATTCTTAATTCTATTCTATTATATGTATTAATTGTATTCTGATACCATAATATCTTAAAAGCTGTATTTTATCATATACGGAAATTTATGTAGATAATAATTAAAGTTCGATTAACAATTTTAAACACACACTCAGAGACAAGCGATTACCATCCACTCCTCTTTTCGATGGATAGAAAGGATTGGTGAAAGTAACAAAAATATTTTGGTTTCAGCAGAGTGATAGAAATTTCGGCACCAAAATTTATAAAATCACTTTTCGAGAAATTCAATGACGACCGTGTATCGTTAGACTATGCCAATAAGAATGACTTAAGAACTCGTAGAAAATGCAGATTTTTCCTCTTTTTATGGGGAGGATACTTCCTGAGTTGAAAGAGATAATGAAGCTTTAGGGTGCAAGACTTATGAATTGCTCAATGTCACGAATTCGATCTTACTCGGTAGATACTAACTAATAGAGCACAATATTATGAGAAGTTCAACAAAGGAAGGCCTAAGATGTATTTTCTTGACAAATATCGTGAAGGCGAGATAAATAGCGCCCGCGGGTGCCATACTCCAGGTACTCAGACAATCGCAAATTGCTTCCGGGGAAAACTGAATTTCCAAAACTTTCGGATGACACTCCTATTGGAGCGCCAGATAGAGGACCGGTAGGGCGGGGCCCACCCACACGACCCAATAGGAGCGTCCGCTCTGAAAGTTTCAGAAGTTTAGTTTTTCTGGAAGTCTTTTGCGACTATCTGAGCACTGCTGAGTAGTTCAAGGACAATGACTCCTCAAAAGAAGAGTCTGCCAAACAAGTTTTACATTCGAATAAGCACATTAGCTGACATCAAAAATTGAAAAACACGAATTTTTGTCACAGCAGGTGTGGGCGCGACTTCCTTGTAGTTCTGTTTTTCTTCTAAACTTCAATGCAGATTGTTAACAAGTCCACACAAAAAAGCGACAAATCATCAGCATTAAACCACTTGGAAGTGCTTTTTCTAAATTCTAAGGGACATGGGCCCGCAAAGATTTGAGAAGATCCCCAAAAAATCAGCGGGGTGCGTGGCTCACTCCCCCTTCCTCGGACGGAAATTCTGCGACCGCCACTGGTTGATACATAAATCTTGGAAGAAAATTTTTGAAATTTCATATTCTCCTTCAACTTCAGATCGCTGAAATTTCTGTAAGGAAGACAAAAATGGGCGCTTTGAACAGAACTCATTTTCGGCATATAATAGCAACACAAGCTGATTAACTTTTGAAGACAAGCACTCAAAAAGCTATATTTCAAAATTTTCGTGTTATATAAGTTAGAACGACTGTAAAATAATAATCGTATTTGTTTTCCATTCTATAAATTGCTACAAAATAGTATAAGGTTGGTCCGAAAGTTCTGTTCTTATTTTCAAAAATTTGTGATTTTGCGCTGTTTCAACGGATAAGTTTCTCAGGAAGAAAAAGTCTTCCGCTTTCAAATCCTCTCTTGACGAGCTTCTGTCTTGCGCTGAGTGGATATATATACATATATATATATATGTATATATGTATATATATATATATATATATATATGAGAAAGCAAGACGGTATAAGCTTTGACCATTTCATTGGGTCACTACATAAAAATCTGGAATGCTGCAGAAAAATCCGAAATGGTCAGTACATGAGCTTTTTGGCCTACCCTTTGCAGCAGTGAAAAATTTGTGCTGTCTGGACGTCTCTGTGAAAAGTCATGATTTTCGAAAAAAAGTGACAAATCAATTAAATTGGCGTTTTCTGTGGTAAACTCGAAATTCATGACTTTTCATAGAGGCGTTCAAGCAACACAAGCTTTTCACAGTTGCAAAAGTTCGGCAAAAAACTCATGTACGACGATTTCAGATCTTCTTGCAGATTTTTAGTTACTTAACTTAAAATTTTTAAAACTTGCTTATTCTTACTTTCCATTTTTGTCTCTGCATTCAGTACGAAACAGAAGTTCAGCAAGACAAGAACTGAAAGCGAAAAACTTATTCTTTCTGATAAGATTACAAGCAAGCAAATCCGTTGAAGTAGCGCAATGTTACAATTTTTTGATAATGAAACGGCAAAGCTATCGGCAGCCTGATACTTTCAAACAGCTGTCTGAATTTGGTTTAACTAAGACCTCTAATATGTACACTGTTCAAGACATCAAACAAACAGGTGTTTTTCCCCATTTTTCGTTGCAAGAATCATGTACCAACCTGATAGATAAACTTATTGATATTTATTTATTTAAGATTTTGATAATTCAAATCAAAACCTTAAAAGTTGCAAACTAAGAAAGCAGAGTCTTATGAAAAGTGGAACATAAAAACACCCAAGATGTATTTCCTCGACAAACATCGTAAATGCGAAATGAATGGCGCCTAAGGGTAACCTCATGCTTCAAGAACTCCTGAGTAGTTAAGATAAAAGTAGATCGTAGTTGGAAATTCTGCTGAACAAGCTTTATCGCCTAAAGAATATCTGCTAGTCAGCTGACATCAAAAAGCGGAAAAATGTGAGTTTTTGCATTAGCAGCTAGCGTGGGCACTGCTTTGTTTGTAGTCTTTTTCTGTCATTATATTTTCTTTTAGTCTACAATGCAGATGATTGGCAAGCTCACATAAAAAGACAACTACCAAACCACACTTAAAGAATCGCAAAAACGTTTCAAAATCACTCAAAAGCGAGCAAAACAAACTCCACAGATCCGCTCAGCGAAAATGGTAGTTTCTGACAGCAAAATA